AGATAATAAATATTCCTCCCTTCGTCACGGAATTTTCTAATTGATCTTAAGTAGGATCTTCGCCAACAAATAATTTCATCTTTATCGATAAGAACTGACTTCCTGTTCTGCTTTTCCCAGCAAAAATTCAACTCTCGTAAGACGGCCCATAATTTGCTTCTACTGATTTTTGGCAAATCGTTGTCCTCTGAAAGTTCACTTAAAATTTTGTTTAGCGTTGGTATTTCTTTTTTAAAAAAAAATGAGTGTATTTTTCTGCGAATGACATTTTTGAAGAAATCATCTATAACGACTTTTGACCTCCCTGTAGATGATTTTGGGGGATTTACAGTATCTTGTTCATTTTTTGCTTCCTTTAAAAGTCTGTAGATAGTCGATTTTCCAATCCCTGTCATTTTTGTTAGCATTAGTGTTACCCGATAATTACCTGAAACGAAATATTACCACGCCCATGGCCGGTTCTTATCTCGGGGTTTTATTACTCCCTTTCATTTCCAAACAGACTATAATTCTTCGTCTGCGTCGAAAAAAAGATCCTTTATTGTTGTAAGCGAATATTTAGGCTGTTCTAATTTCACTATAAATGTTTACAACAATAAATAAAATTACTTTCGTTAAAGAACCTCATTACTTACATATTAATTCTTAGATCATTTATGTCTTAAGTCTTTATAGTGTCTTAAAATATTGATGACAATTTGTTGTTCTACTAAAGAATTCTAACATCGACGATCAATACGGTCAATCCAAAGCTCCATTTTAATAAATTATTTCCTTACGACCCTATTTTTTTTCAAACCAAATGAACAACTAATTAATCCCCTCCACTAAATCCACCCTTCCGGTTCACGTATAGCCCCCAACCCTTTCAAAGGGGTTTTACATAACGGCAGTTTTCTTCCCCAGGTCACTGACCTTTGCACGATATAAATCTTTCACGTGATACCAGGTAGTAGACTGAAAATAGCAAATGCGCTTACAACAATACCCCTCTTATTACCCTTCCAAATTGGAATGAGGGTTTTTTATAAACAAAACAAAGCTAGTATTAACAGGATTCTAGATTCCAATCTAGATATCGTTTTTTTTAAATGTTCAGTTATTTTCCTACGAAGTAGATGAATATAGTTGCAAGATAAAAAAAGATTCGTGACACATCCCATTTTCTGTATTTTTTTCGATAATTTTGTAAATTTGACGCTTTCAAAGGATTATTCTTTTAGTTTTTAGGTCTACTACTCGATTGGTACATTTTCATAATTTAGAATTTTTAAATTAAAACACTTTTTTCTCCAACCGTCACAAAAGTATGATATTTTTTTACTGTCAGAAGTCTCTAAGGTTGACATTTTCCTTAATGAGAAAAAAAATGGCATCTTAGCAACAAAAGTATTCACTTTTAATCAAACAATTAAAATAACTTGACATTTGTTAACTTGCTTGTCAAATTATTGTTAATCTGTAATACTTTTTGCTGAAAATTTAAATAAAAATGCCTGGGGATCGTTTAAATTATATTTATGAGGATTATTTTAATTTGTTTGTTATTTATGGAAAGAAGCAGCAGACTCTACATATTCTTGAAATTACTTTGTCACATTTTCCATAAATAATAAACACATTAGGATAATCCTCATTAGCAGAAGTAGGTATCCATGACTACATCGATAATGAATGAAATTCTGATTAATTTCAAAGCACAAATTAATAATTAAATGGTGAATTTTGATTGGAGAAAAAATAGCATGTTTTATTCGGATTAAATGTGCCTTTTTTGTCTGACAATTTGCTTGCCACAAAAGTAACACTTTTAATTCTAATATAACCATATTAGTCCGGTTAAATTAGTCATAAAAATGGTGGTCAAATAACGAAAATTCCGATAGAGCTAAATTTTGGTGGAGACCTTGGGTACACCATTAGAAATAAAATGTCAAAAGTCCCCACAGATCCCATGTGTGCTAAAAAAGTTATTCGGGGTCAAAGGTCAAAATTTGAGGATTTTTGGATTTTTTTCGAAAGCGGTAAGTTTTATCAAAAAAGTAGTTCTGACAAAAATTATAGATCTTACAATTATCTACAAAAATGGTCCTTATACTTTTTTCCTAAGAATCACCATTCCTGAGATTTGGCGATTCTAAAAGTTGAAGGAGTCACGTTTTACATGATATGTACATATATGCCACGTATATACATAGTCAGGCATTTAATACAAGTAAAAATGCCTATTTGTGTCTCTTATATGTATAAACTATACGATTCTGATACACTCAAAAGAAACTCAGTCCCTTAGTCAATCCCCTCTACCCGCATGGCTTTGAATAACATCTGGCTACTCTATTGTAAAAACTTTTGTAAAACATACACGAAACAAGAAACAAGTACAACTATCTTGTATCGAGTATACTATCAAGTTCAGACATGGCTAGGTAATTAACTGAACCCAAAAGACTGGGGTTGGAAATTAATAGATAATGCTTTGGAACCAATTCAAACTTTACTCCCACCTGCTCCGGAAAAACTCCTAAACACTACTTTTTGCAATTTCAAAAAAGGTTGTAGTGCTAAAAGTGGCTGTAGTGCGTAGGGTTACTGTGTTCTCCAGCGTGTACTAATTGCCAAAGCCAGTCTTGCTCAAATGTCCAATTGAATACAACAGACATGACTGTTGAAGTCGACTTTGAAGAGTATGAATCAGATTAAAATATCAAAAGAAATTAGCAAGTACAATTAAAGTCAATAACCAATATCAATATCAATAATCATCATGCAGTTAAAAGAGTATTGTCCCTGAAAATTCCGTCATAACAGTTCGTGGAGTAGGCCTACCGGGGAAACCATGTTAAAAAAACCCGNTCTTCCATTTTTGTCTAAAACGAATAGTTGCTAAGTTGTCGACGAGAAATCCAAGAAAAAAATGATTTTTTTTGCTATTTTTTTATACTTTTTTGCAATAACAATTAAGCCCACGTTTTTTTTATTTGCATAGAAATATTACCAATTCTGATGTTATTTAGAAGACGTTAAAGCAAAAATCTCCGATCATATGCGTTTTACCCAACCCGAAACAAGTACCGCCTGGACTATTTCACAAAACCAGTAAAACGACGTAAGCGTTTTATAAAACTACTGATAATGCTTCAGCCAAATGTTTTTCTCCATAGAAAAGATATAACTTACTGTACGAACGCATTTCTGGTAATACATAGGCTCGTCGTTTATGCACTGAAACTTAAAATACAGGAAAAATAAGGTTTAAAATGAAATGATTCATCCCTGTAGCTACTGTTTGTTTATTATGAAACTTTTTTTGTCTTTTATTTAGTCAGGTGGGGAAGGAAAGGTAATTTTGTTCAAAGAACGCCTCAACTGCTTCTACTTGAGTAAAATTAAAAGAACGAAGCTGATGAAAAAAGTGTTGTGTGACAAAATCCTGTCTAAAATTAAAACGCCCTTAAATTTAGTTAATTCTTTACGAGTTCGTATTTAAGGACCTAATTAATTATTTTAATATCTTGTTTATTACATTTTTTTTCAAATTGGAACAACGTTTGTAATTAAAAAGTAATATCTTGGTCGACGACTAGAATACAAAGAAGATGTTGAGGAAATTTTATTTTTTATTTGTCTTTGAAACAGACAAAAGAAAGTGACAAGTGACATGTCTTTCAGAAGAAGAATTCACAATTCGTGACTTTTTTTAGGTCAAGTTTACCCCCTTTTTACATTATACAGTGAAGAAGGAGACGAACAACTTTCCATAAGCGTTGGGAGAGATGTGAATATATACTACGAAGACGTTGAAGAGATGCCCTTGGAGAACAACCATATAGAATTTAACGTTTCTTTGGACGATGGGGAGTAAGTATTTGCTACCACATACACGAAATATTAGGATTAGAAATTGAAACTAACAAATCTAACAAATTACCACAATGTTCAAGTAAATGTCGCTATACAAGATACGTTTGTAGTAAAAATTATACTACTTTTCCCAGCAAAAATTCAACTCTCGTAAGACGGCCCATAATTTGCTTCTACTGATTTTTGGCAAATCGTTGTCCTCTGAAAGTTCACTTAAAATTTTGTTTAGCGTTGGTATTTCTTTTTTAAAATAAAATGAGTGTACTTTTCTGCGAATGACATTTTTGAAGAAATCATCTATAACGACTTTTGACCTCCCTGTAGATGATTTTGGGGGATTTACAGTATCTTGTTCATTTTTTGTTTCCTTTAAAAGTCTGTAGATAGTCGATTTTCCAATCCCTGTCATTTTTGTTAGCATTAGTGTTACCCGATAATTACCTGAAACGAAATATTACCACGCCCATGGCCGGTTCTTATCTCGGGGTTTTATTACTCCCTTTCATTTCCAAACAGACTATAATTCTTCGTCTGCGTCGAAAAAAAGATCCTTTATTGTTGTAAGCGAATATTTAGGCTGTTCTAATTTCACTATAAATGTTTACAACAATAAATAAAATTACTTTCGTTAAAGAACCTCATTACTTACATATTAATTCTTAGATCATTTATGTCTTAAGTCTTTATAGTGTCTTAAAATATTGATGACAATTTGTTGTTCTACTAAAGAATTCTAACATCGACGATCAATACGGTCAATCCAAAGCTCCATTTTAATAAATTATTTCCTTACGACCCTATTTTTTTTCAAACCAAATGAACAACTAATTAATCCCCTCCACTAAATCCACCCTTCCGGTTCACGTATAGCCCCCAACCCTTTCAAAGGGGTTTTACATAACGGCAGTTTTCTTCCCCAGGTCACTGACCTTTGCACGATATAAATCTTTCACGTGATACCAGGTAGTAGACTGAAAATAGCAAATGCGCTTACAACAATACCCCTCTTATTACCCTTCCAAATTGGAATGAGGGTTTTTTATAAACAAAACAAAGCTAGTATTAACAGGATTCTAGATTCCAATCTAGATATCGTTTTTTTTAAATGTTCAGTTATTTTCCTACGAAGTAGATGAATATAGTTGCAAGATAAAAAAAGATTCGTGACACATCCCATTTTCTGTATTTTTTCGATAATTTCTTAAATTTGGCACCTTCAAAGGATTATTCTTTTAGTTTTTAGGTCTATTACTCGATTGGTACATTTTCATAATTTAGAATTTTTAAATTAAAACACATTTTTCTCCAACCGTCACAAAACTATGACATTTTTTGACTGTCAGAAGTCTCTAAGGTTGACATTTTCCTTACTGAGAAAACTATTACTATTTCTATCTCTTTTGATCTTACTTGTCCTGTGGTAGTTTAAATCTCTTCACTCACTCATACTACACATATACTACAACATACGACTTCACTCGCGAAAAAAAGCCTAATGTATTCACTTTTAATCAAACAATTAAAATAACTTGACATTTGTGAAGTAAGTTGTCAAATTATTGTTACGTCTGTAATAGTTTTTACTGTAAATTTAAATAAAAATGCCGGGGGATCGTTTAAATTATATTTATGAGAATTATTTTAATTTGTTTGTTATTTATGGAGAAAAGCAGCAGACTCTCTACATGTTCTTGAAATTACTTTGTCACATTTTCCATAAATAATAAACATATTAGAATAATCCTCATTAGTAGAAGTACCCATGACAACATCGATAATGAATGAAATTCTGATTAATTCTAATAAATGATTAGACCGATCAAAATAACTCATTTAGAGGGAAAAAAAAGAAAATTGTTACCTGGACATTTATAAGAGGAAATGGTAAAGGGGCTTATAATAAACAAAAAAAAATTAAAGGCGTGAGCAGGGGCGGCGGAGGGTTGATTTGGTGGGTTAAAAAGTTATGAAAAATTGTATCATTGGGATTTACAGTGTCACTTTTTTCGCTCTATACAATGGCGTCAACATTTTTTTCGTCTTCGATGGGCCAACATCGGATTAATTTTTTTATATACGTCGCTGCTATTTTTATGACAAAATCTAAAGTCATTTTTAATTCTGAATTAGAGGATATTACCATTGTAATCGCTTAAAAAGTTTTTAGCTTGTTTTACCTATTATTTAAAATTTTTCCTGAGTACGGCTCTGAATGTTTTCAAAATATCTATTGGATGAAGTCATAACAGTATAAAAGTCAATACCGCACAATATCCAACAATTTTTTACTACTGTTAGCAATACTAATTAGAAATAATAAAATATTTCATAAATTCGTATTATTTTTTTATTATTTACAATACAACTTTTTAAATTATGGTTTAAAAAAATTGTTGGATATTTTGTGCTGTATTGACTTTTATTCTCTCCTCTCACTGTCTCCTCCAATAGATACATGTATTTTAGCGTTCAGAGGCGTACTCAGGAAAAATATTTTTAATGATAGGTAAAAACTTTTTTAAGCGATTACAATAGTAATATCATCTAATACACAATTAAAAATTACTAGATTTTGTCATAAAAATAGCAGCGATATATTTAGGTAAAAAAATTAATCTGATGATGGCCCGTCAAAGACGAAACGTCAGATTGCAAAAATGTTGACGCCATTGGATAGAGCGAAAAAAATGGCAATGTAAATATGCAATTTATTTAAAATTCGTTTTCAAATAATGCCAGAAAAAAATAAAAACGATTTTGCAAAATTTCGGTTTTTCGAATTTTGCGTCAACAGTAGACTGCAGTTAATACTTTGTATTGCTGAAATCTCAAATCACCCTGAGATAATTTATCATTTGTGCATTTGTAATTCTATTTAGATGTTTATAGCAATACTGTACAAAAATAAAGTTTTGGGTCAAACAATGAGATACGGTTTTTTTTTCCGTAGAATTGAGTTGAATCAGTTTTTGAATGATTTTTAATTTAAACAAATTATCAACAATAACTGAGTCATTTTTTATTTTTTTTTGCATTTTTGAGCATGTTTTTGAAATGTTACTACAGATTTTTTATTTCACCAAAAAGTATATGTCAAAACGAAAAAAATTATTACTGGCAGAACTCTGTACGATGATTTTTTTTTATGTAGAATTTTTCTTTGAAAAAAAAGTGTTTCAGGCCGAAAAAAATGAACATCTCAGAGACTTCTTGATTTTTTTATCTAAAAAAATTTGAGGTTATTTAAGACTGAGAAAGGTATACTTTCACCACATTTCGTCAAAATTAAATTATTTTTGCGGAAATGAGAAATAAAAAACGAAAAATCAGAAAAAAACTGTTTTTCGCATTTTTCTCGGAAATTTTGAGGTTATATTAAAAAGTGACCTCTACAAAAGTTGTAGATAATGCAAAATCTACAACTTTTGTATTAGATACTTCTTTGTTTGACGTCAACTTTCGCCAGAAATCCCAATAGTACAATTTTTCATAACTTTTCAACCCCCCAAATCAACCCTCCGCCGCCCCTGCTCAAGCATTTATTTTTTTTAGGTTTATTATAAGCCCTTTTACTATTTCCACTTATAAAAGTCCAGGTAACAATTTTTTTTTTCCATGTGTAACTTGGTTGGACTAGATGGGGAATTTCGGTTGGAGAAAAAATAGCATGTTTTATTCGGATTAAATGTGTCCTTTTTTGTCTGGCCACAAAAGTAACACTTTTAATCCTAATATAACCATATATTATTTCTATAAAATCTTATGAAATGAAGCAAACATTGGTTTTCAGTTATGTAAATGTATTTTGGATAGCGACATCTATACGAATATTGTTGTACTGAATTGGAAAAAATTGCGTTTCAAACACATACTTCTATCTAGAAGTATGTGGTTTCAAATCAAGCTAAACGAAATGTTGGTACCGCTTCCGGATCTGTTTAAAACATAAATCTGCCTTTTAGGCGACTTGATTCGATTACTTACGTATATTAAAGCAACTTTTACGGACGATCGCCCAACGATTTGAATTCGCTTATATTTTATTTAAGCAGCGCCTACTCCAATATATTTCGAAATAGAATTAATGTTAGCCTGAAGGGTTTAATTTTCATTAAGCTGACATATGGGTGATATTAATATACAGACATTTCTCTTCAAGTGTACATGCCAATTAGCTAATAGGTACGGGAGTACCCTCACGTCGTTATGTATGTCTCTAATGTATCACGAAACGCCTCAAGAAAAATGGACTACCTCCTCTAAGCAAACTTGTGTCGCACCTAGGAAACACGGGGTGTTCTGTTCGATACACGATTTATTTCAGTTTTATTTATCACCCCAAATCTTTTAAAATATACTGACCCTTATCGCGCTTTCTCTACTTCTTTTTTTTTCAGTCACAGTAACCGATTAATTTGTTTTTTTTCAAACTGCCCTTTACAGTTTTCAGTTTGGAAAATCGCCAAAAATTGGGTTACAAAACATTACTTTTTAGGGAATTTTCTTGGGGTCTTTAAATTGGTTATAGGACGTTCATACTTGGCTCAAGAAAAGTTCATGTTATGTAGAATTATCACACCAAATTTCATCAAAATCGGTTCGATAGATTTTGCATAATAATTTTGCCATCCAGATTTTGAAAAAAAAATTGCAAATTTTCAAAATTTTGCACAGCAAAAACCAATGCCCTTAGATACTTGAAAATTTAATTACATATAGAAGGGCTCTTAAAGCTTTCAAACGCTTTTTGAAAAATTCGAATCCGTCAATTAGGAGAGCTCTGGTACTTGTTTAAACATTGGTCGAATTTTTGTACTTATGAACAATTAGAATAACTTTGTGAATATTCAATCAAATCACATTTTTTAAAGCAGGTTTTAAAAGTTATTGGAAAGACGCTTCTTTTAAATAAAAAACAAATCGATTAGTCAATTAGTTACATAGTTATAGTCGATCAAAGTTAACCGTCATTTACACTAAATGTATTGGGACATCCGAGCTAATTTTTCGAAAAATAACTTTGGTATTCCGAGTAATTACCAGGTCTAAGTTTGCAATACTTTTCTTTATTGGCAAGCTACTTTAAAACGTGTTTAAAGTTATTTATGCAAGCGAGAAATTAACAAATATCAAAAACAAATTTATGTAAATTTTCTAAAATTGTTTAAAACAATAATTATTTTCAAAATATGTCGAAATTAGTAATATAATGAGTTAATTTCTCATTTACTTATATTTTAAATAATAAATAATATAACTAACTGTTATTGGTACATTGTATATAACAACAGTTGTTTGAATATCATAAAGGCCTTTTCAGAAGCAACAACCGTTTGTCAGGAACTTCCTTTTAAATTTCCTGAAAAAAAATATGTATATTCGACTGTCTTAAGTTCCTTTTCGGTAGAATGATTGATAGTCCGTACGGAGAAAATATTCTTTCGATATCCGCAGCACATTAGTTTTAATGCGAAACTGTTATAGAAATGTCACCCAAATTGTAGATCAATTTTTNTAATTTGATTGAATAATCACAGTTATTCTAATTGTTTGTAAGTACAAAAATTCGACCAATGTTTAAACAAGCGTCAGAGCTCTCATAATTGGATTCGAATTCGGATTCAAAAAGCGTTTGAGAGCTTGAGAGCCCTTCTATATGTGATTGAATTTTCAAGGATCTAAGGGCCTTGGTTTTTGCTGTACAAAATTTTGAAAATTTGTAGTAATTTTTTTTTCAAAATCTGGATTGCAAAATTATTATGCAAAATCTATAAAACCGATTTTGATAAAATTTAATGTGTTGATTCTACACATGATGTTTTCTTGAGCCAAGTATGAAGGTCCTGTACCTAATTTAAAGACCCCAAAAAAATTCCCTAAAAAGTAATGTTTTTAACCCCATTTTTGGCGATTTTTTCAATTTTTACAATAATAATGATTCATTCGATTTGTAACTAGTCATATTTTGAAAAATTTTATTACAAACATTTTTTTCTTCTTCCATTTTCACCTAAACTCAACTCTTGAAAAGATACATAATTAAATAGGAAGAGAAATATGATATTTTTTTAACATATTGTGCCGCCAAAATCATTCATTTCTAGTGATATTTAAAAGCCAAAAAGCCCAAAATCTCCGTGGATATATGATTCACCCAAACCAAAACAGAAATTGCCTAGTCTATTATTTTTAAAATTAATCATCTGCCAATCTTTTGGATCCACATTGTGCAGTTTTAGAAAAGATTGGATTATATTCAATGCGACTGTCAGGTTTCCCAAAACATTCCTTGTAACTGTTTTGCTGAGGAGTTGTTTTTTTTTATAATTTTCACAATTTCTCCTCTTCACATTGAGAGCGAATCTTCCAAAATGTTCGTTAATTGCTCTACAGTCAAAGACTCGTCTCTGGAGTCGTCTGTTCTATATGCATTTTCCTTTCAACTGCAGAACTTGATAAATTGTTTTCATATGCTTGTTTCCGAGTTTTTGGTATTTTAAGTTTTAAGTTTTGAACTTCTTTTTGAATTACTGATTGTTTTTTATCAAAACGAAACAATTAATGTCTACTCCAGTCGAATTAAAGTTTAAAAAAATTATAAGTGGGTAGTCATTTTATTGCCCCTTATGACGGAAGGGGAAGCGTATATGTAGAATGATAATATCAAAAAAGTGACTCGAAAGAAGTGACGCCAAGTTGGCAAATTGCAACTATAAGTGGAAAATTAGTCATTTTATGTTGTAGGCAATTATATTATGTACCTACCTACAATTTAAAGTATCTGACGTCATATTTCACCAATTTGTTAACTGTAAAATAAATAATGAACGCGGAAAAATCAGTTTTCGAAAATTGGGCATTATTATATTATTGCAAAAGACGATAAATCTCGATGAAATTTATGGAGAAGACGGTCAATCCAAAGGCCAACATGTGTGAAAAAGGCCGATTCGATTGACCGTGAAATAGTTACTCCAGGTATTTGTTAATTAATTTCGTTCGTTTTTTTGCAACTAATTGTTTAATTACTAAACGTTAATTTTAGAAGGTAATATCTTTGACATAGGTTCTAATTGATCCAAAGAAATGTATCGAAAAAGAAAAATTTCAAAAAGTTGAAATTAAGTAGCCTTTTACAACTAACAAAGTAGGACCTGCAAACGAATTGTCCCAAAGTCAGGCAAAAGCTGCTCGGGAATTCGCTCTTTTTGCATTAAATAGAGCTTATTTTTACGGTAATTAAAAAAAAGAGAAACCACCTACTTGTCTTACCAAATACCATACGTGCTTTTAAGTCATTTCGTTGAAATGTTTTCTCGTCTTCGACTGATTAATTTTTGAAATATTTGTGAAAAAATTTCCAGATTAGGAAATACAAGTAATATTATAAAAAAAATAACTAATTGTTATCCATATACACTGAGTATTGGTACATTCAATATATCAACAATCGTTTGAATACCATAAAGGCCTTTTCAGAACCAACGACAGTTTGTGTCAGGAACTTCCTTTTAAATTTCTCGAAAAAAAATATGTATATTCGACTGTCTTAAGTTCCTTTTCGGTAGAATGATTGATAGTCCGTACGGAGAAAATATTCTTTCGATATCCGCAGCACATTAGTTTTAATGCGAAACTGTTATAGAAATGTCACCCAAATTGTAGATCAATTTTTCATTGAGTTAAATATGTATTTAACTTTTTAACAATTCCATAGAAAAAATCAGGATATAAAACCAGAACTGTGCCATCAAAGAACAGGAATAGAATAAAACGAGGTTGTTTATTGATAAAATCGACGAAAATAGAAAAATGTCGACTTTATTTAAGCTAAATTTTAAACGAAAAAAAAAAAGAAAGATTAATAAATGGACTTTTTTTACGACTGTAGGTGTGTACTGTAACACAAAACATATTTAAGAAAATATACCTATTGTTGTAAAAAGACCTATCCTGGAATATACAGGGTGTTCCCTTTTTAAACGCTTTTAATTTGAACAATAAAGTTCATTTGAACATAGGTCCTAACCGAGATACAGGGTGTTGAATTTATTATTTTTATTTTCACTTTTTTCGTGATATCTAAAAAGCAGTACTAATGAAACCAGATGTCTTGTGGGACATAATACTCGTATGTCCTTTAAAAATGACCTACAAATGATTCGCAACAACCACTACTAGAGTTCCTTTTAAAATAGAAACTTTCCTTTTTTGAAATTTCATGACGATTAGCGTAAAACCCTTTTAGTACATACATTTGGCCATGAAAATTGAATAATTCCAAATATTTCGAATTTTCACCACCAAGAACGGCGGTGACAACAATAATTTTAACATTAAAGCGATGTTTCGCACTGTATTAGCTATGTCCTGTCCACATTTGATTAGTCTCTCGGTTTCGAAAATACAATACCTAGGTATGTTCCAAATATTTCAAATTTTCATCACCAAGAACGGCGGTGTCAACATTTTTAACATTAAGGCTATGTTTCGCAATGTATTAGTTATGTCCTGTCCAAATTTGGTTAGTGCAACTCTTATTTTGTCAATCAACGTGTAATAACATTTGGGCCCGTCTTATCCAGTTTCTACAAACTAACACAAATGTTGTCTTGCTTCACAATATATTAAAATATATCCATCCACTCCCCGTTGTTATACCACCTACATGTAAGCCATTTTTGACATTTGAAAAATTAATGTAAACACTATTGCAAAAACGTTAATACTAAAATCGGATTTCAGTATTCGGAATCGTTTGGGACAGCACACAACGCTAGAGACTACAGTAAGGCGTAAAAATTGTGATGGTTGTAGTGAATAAATAGTTTGTAGGTCATTTTTAAAGAGCATTATATCGCCACAAGACATAACCAATTTGGTTTCGTTAATATTTGCTGTTTTTTTTAGAAAACACGAAGGTAAAAATAATAATCCTGTACCACTTACGCTCATATGAACTTTTTTTGTTCAAAATCAAGTCCTCTTATCAACTACTAAAGTTAGTACATTTAAAAATGGAACACCCTGTATTTTAATTTATTTATTTCTTTCTCTATTTCAGATGGCACCGTCTGGCCTTTAGTTTCAAAGGAGACTCAGTCACACTGATCCACGACTGCCTCAATACCATCACGAGGTCCTTGTTAAGGGGCTTCACATCAAAACTGAGCACGTCTGGAATTATGAATATTGGATATCAATTAGCAGACGAGGGGTTTTATAGCGTAAGTGTATAGAAAGGAGTAAAGGTCGCCTACGTTACAGAGGAAATATTAATGTGCAATCAGAAAGCTAATTGTCGAACGAAAGTAATACGCGGGTCGTTTCAGAAAAACTGAATATTAATATGCCGTCTACTTTTCACATAAGAGTATAGCCATATTTTTTTCTACGACTGTACAGGGTATTTCATTGTGTATTTATTTATTGTAAAGTAAAATCAAATCATTGGTTCATATACTTTAACCATGCTATGCAAAACTATGTAAAGGATGGCCACGAGGGAATAGAAATTTTTCTGATCGGTCGCGGAATTTTGGAAATATAACTTAAAGAATTTATTAATTTTCAGCTCTTGATGTATATTAAAAATAAATATGTTTTCACAAATAATTCGAGAAATTTAGCCAGAATACATTTATAAAAATCTCTGTGAGACTTTCCTAAACGGTCATTCCGTATAATAATTTCTCTAGGGAGATGTCCAAATGCTAAAAATCGCCCCCACCCCCGACGAAGCTTACGAAATGTGTTCTAAACACTCTCCAGACTGTGATGTTGTTCATGGTACGATCAGCAACACCTTCTACAGAGGCGGAAACGGGTCGATCAGCAGTGGAGGTTCCTACCGCTGGACGTCTAGCAATTCTAGCAACTTTAGGGGAAGTAGCAGCGGCAACAGCTTCAGCGCTAGCTCTGGAGGAGACGTCATTCAAGCAGGAGGTATTGCTTGACTTTGTCTATTGCTTGTTTGTCAGTAAAATTCTTTAGAAGGTCTTAAAGAATGATATAAACTAATGCTTTGTAGATCTCGAGGGTTTAAACAAGTTGGTCACGGAGACACCTCGACGAAGCTTCAGCATCAGTGGAGGAAGCTCTGAAGGAGGTTCAATAGGCATAGAACATGGCACTTACGGTCAAGACCGCGTAGGAGGAAATAGTGTCATAAACGGAACAGATGAAGTCGAAGTAGGCAGTAACTTGGACTTGGCAGGTGATTCTCTAGTAGGTCCTGATTTTAACTACCCTCTCTTTAGCAATGAGACAGTGGAAGTAACTACTTTTTTCCCCGATTATGGAGAGGTGAGATTAATCCAAAAGATAAAGGTGGAATATTGCATAAATTAAGTGTTTTAGCCAGATGAGACCAACGGAGACTATGATAGTTTACCAACAGGCCCAGACAGCGAACAAGGTGGGTATCCTTCTTACAACGGCATCAGGGGACCACCAGGACCTAGAGGATATCCCGGACCGCCTGGACCTTCAGGGTTTCCAGGTGCTAAAGGCGACTCCGGAAGAGATGGATTAGCTGGAACTGGAGGCATTCCTGGCCCACCTGGACACGTTTTTATGATACCAGTAAGCTCGAAGGCAACAAATTAACTATATTAATATGTATATCTTATACTACATCAGGAAAGGGATATATTTATCCCTTTCCTTCTTTGTCAGGTCGTAATTATATTTTTTTTCTGTTGTTAAGTCTTTTAACTTTGATTTATTTCGCATAACTTTCACCGTATCATTCTCGTTTTCTTATTCACCAGATAAACGCTCAAGGGAATGAAAAGGGCCCGGATCAACAAGCCGAAACGTTCAGACACATGCTGTCGCAACACATGGTAATGATGTTCAACCTCAAAATGCGTATTTTAAAAATCTAATTTAGCTATTTCAAACTATGTTAAAGATGGCGATGAGGGGCATAGAAGGACCCATGGGCCTCACCGGAATTCCCGGGCCTCCAGGACACACGGGTCCTGAAGGAACTAAGGGAGAGCCGGGAGACAGTGGAGAACCGGTACGGAACCCCAACCTCTATTATGTATTAGGCCAAATCAAATATTATCGATACTTTCATTAGGGTTTACCGGGATTAAGAGGCATTGAAGGACCATCAGGACGTGAAGGGCGAAGAGGGCCAGACGGAAGAGACGGGGAGAGGGGTCTAACAGGACCTCCAGGTTCCAAAGGAGATCAGGGGCTGATTGGCCTTCCTGGATTGCCTGGAGAAAAAGGCGAGCGAGGAACTACAGGAAACCCAGGAGAGAAAGGTTTGCCAGGACATGACGGCATGCAAGGAGAAGAAGGTGCCCCAGGTTTGCCCGGACTTCCTGGAGAAATGGTACATTGCTGCCGTGTCTATAGAAATATTTTTTAATAAAATTAATTCATCAACATAGGGACCTAGAGGATTTACAGGCCCTAGAGGAATTCCTGGATTTCCAGGCGCTCCAGGAATTCCTGGAGTAGAAGGACCTCCGGGAAATAAAGGTCATCCTGGCCCTATAGGACAACCTGGTCAGCCAGGGCAAACGGGGCCTCCAGGTGCAGTGGGGCCTCCAGGACCCCAAGGGCTATTAGGACCACCTGGAGTTATGGTAAATACTAATGACTACTTTACAAAAAGATAATTTTTTGGCACTAGGGTCCTCGTGGGAAATCCGGAGTTCCGGGCCTGCCCGGAGCCGAGGGGCTTCCAGGTGTCAATGGCAATCCTGGAACGCCGGGTTCAAAAGGAGAACAAGGTTTGCCAGGGCCTCAGGGATCGATAGGATTCCCTGGTGGTCGAGGAGTTAAAGGGGATGAAGGAAAGAGAGGACTTGTCGGTGAAAAAGGTGATAAGGGCGACAGAGGATTGGAAGGGGAAAAGGGAGAGGCTGGCGGAAAGGGAGACACCGGCCCGGAAGGACCGCAGGGTACTGCTGGGTTGGAAGGACCTGAAGGTCCAAAAGTATGTAAAATATTTAAATTTTTGTATCTACAGGGCATCCTTTTATCCTATGGTTATTTTATCTATATTCAGGGCTTTGATGGTCCTAGAGGAGAAACAGGCCAAGTGGGTCCACCTGGTGAGAAGGGTAAAGATGGGATACAAGGTTTTGCAGGATATCCGGGAACTCAAGGTGATAAAGGAGACAAAGGGGCAACTGGTAGACTAGGACCAGCTGGAGATAAAGGAGAAAGGGTATATTCATTCAAATATGAATTTATTTATTAATTAACACTAACACTTTTTCCTAGGGCCATCCAGGAGTACCTGGTGAAAGAGGAGAAACAGGACCTCGAGGTTTTAGAGGTACGAGAGGTCGACGGGGTTCTGAAGGACTACCAGGCCCCAAAGGAGACACCGGGCAACCTGGTCCTCCAGGATCTCAAGGAGAAGTCGGCCCTCCGGGTCCAGAAGGCGGAAGGGGATTCAATGGGCCCCCAGGATCTCCCGGTCCAAGTGGTAAAGATGGGGCGTCTGGCTTACCAGGGGAAAGAGGACCACCAGTAAGTAATAAAGATATTTTTATTTGGTCTTGTTCCAATTTAAAACAGATTGAGATTAAAATATATTCAATGCCCATTTCTAGGGAGAACCGGGTAAAGCAGGTCCTTCTGGCCCCCCTGGAGTTATCGGACCGCAAGGCCCTGCTGGAGAACTAGGACCAATAGGAGAACCTGGAACACCAGGATCTCCAGGTACTCCTGGAGAACCAGGACTCCCAGGCGACGCAGGGAAAGAAGGACCACCCGGACCCGTTGGACCGGCTGGAAGGCCGGGTCCTCCTGGACCCACAGGACTTCCAGGATTCCCTGGGGAAAGAGGCCACAACGGACTACCGGTAAAATTTAGAAAAAGTGGTTAAATTTTCTTCAAGTATTTTTTATTTATAGGGCATGCCAGGGTTGAAAGGAGACACTGGTCCCATGGGCCCATCAGGTGTAGCAGGTGACAAAGGTCAGCAAGGTGAACCTGGAAAAGACGGTCTTCCAGGTCCCGAAGGTCGAAAGGGGCCACCAGGACCACCTGGCCCTGGCGGCGCCAAAGGAGAGTTGGGAGAACCAGGGCCTCCTGGAGTTGCTGGCAGAGGCGGCTTGCCAGGACTGAGAGGATTACCAGGAGCTCCTGGGCCGATTGGGCCTCCGGGAGAAGACGGAGATAAAGGAGACGTTGGCCCTCCTGGCGAGAAGGGATTCAAAGGGGCACAAGGAGAACCAGTAAGATGACCATTGAAAGGGGCAGATCAGTTTCTATTAAATTATACAATTGTAGGGTCCTGTGGGCAGTCCGGGTCTTCAAGGACTCCGTGGGGAACCTGGAGCGATAGGTCCTCCAGGTGAACGCGGTCCACCAGGAGAAATGGGTAGACACGGTCGCAAGGGAGAAGGCGGGCCGTCAGGATTACCAGGACCAGCTGGGCCAGCGGGACCTCAAGGATTGCCGGGACCGCCAGGTGCCAAAGGAGAAGTAGGGGACATTGGTAGGTCTTGTTGTTGGATAGGTTACTGTAATTGAGAGCAACGGCATGCATTGTTTCACAATGAAGACACACAAACACACCCTACCGTCATTATACACCGACATAAATATCTTTTCATTTCATTAAATACTAGTTTAAAATTAGCCAGAGGTCATTGACACTGAAATTCACAAACTGAACACAGCGCTTCAAAAAAATAGCTTCTTAAAGTTAAAATGTTCTATTTAACTCTGGTTGATACTTATGGGACACATTTTGTTGTTTGCTTATTAAACTTAACTCTTAATAAATATTTATTCGTTGTTTACTAGGTCAGAAGGGTCCATTGGGACCTGCAGGTTCGCCTGGGGAACCTGGACCTAGGGGGCCAAAGGGCGTCGAAGGACCACCAGGGTTAACAGGACCTGAAGGGCAACAAGGATCTAAAGGCGATGATGGGCCACCTGGACCTATCGGACCGCCAGGAAATGACGGAAAAAATGTAAGAGAACTACTGCTGCAAAGAAATAAAACATAGCCTTTATTTTTTTTAGGGTGAACGTGGTCCAACAGGTCAGAAAGGCGAAGAAGGCAAAGCGGGTGTTCAAGGTCCTCCAGGACCGAGAGGGGGTCCAGGTCCCGAAGGATCCAAAGGAGCAGCGGGTCCACCGGGATTCCCAGGACCTCCTGGGGAACCAGGTCTAACGGGCTCGAAGGGCGAACCGGGAAAAGACGGAGAAGAAGGGAAACAGGGAGAACCAGGGCAGCCGGGAGACCAAGGTGTTCAGGGACCCATTGGGCCTGTCGGACCTCCAGGAAAACCAGTATGTTCAAAATATGTTGCTTTTAATACCACAGATTGAACTGAACTACAAAAATATTTGTTATCTTTGTGTTGTATACTGCATACTCTAACAGGGTCCTGAAGGAGCTGCGGGAATGCAAGGAAATACTGGACTACCAGGGGAAAAAGGAGACAAAGGGCAGATTGGTGCACCTGGACTACAAGGATCTCCTGGTTCTCAAGGTGTTCCTGGACCTCAGGGACCACCTGGTCTAACAGGAGCACCTGGAGCAGGTGTAAGTTATTCAATTGTTATCTAAAAAAATGTGTTGAGGTTTACTTTTGAGTGATTGCTTGCCGCTTTGACACACATTGGATGTGATACATGTCTGTAACTTTTAGGGTGAAAGTGGTCCACCAGGTTCACCAGGTCTTCCAGGGTCTCAAGGAAAGATGGGGGAACCTGGTCCTCGAGGGCAAAAAGGAGATCGTGGTAGAAGAGGTCCAAAAGGCCACAGAGGAGAAATTGGCAACCCAGGTTTAAAGGGGGATGAAGGAGAAAGGGGTGAAAGGGGAGAAAAGGGAGATAGGGGACCCGAGGGTCCAAAGGGAAATACAGTAAGTGAATTTTGAAATAATGTATCGCCATATTATTAGAAAACTTTAATTTATAGGGTCCATCGGGTCCTGCCGGGCCCAAAGGCAACGACGGTCCCCCAGGTCTGCCAGGTTTAGAAGGACCGCCCGGCCCGAAAGGTTCCCTGGGTCAAGCTGGAGTGAAAGGAGAACCGGGACCTTTAGGTCCTCCAGGACCTCCCGGCGAAGCGGCTGAAATGCCCTTGATACCGCCAGAACTCCTAGTGCAAATGCAGAATCCAGATAAGGGGGTTACACGAGAGAGGAGAAGCCTCGAGGATTTGATGTATGTAAATTCAAGTTTCATTTGAAAATTACGATTGCAAAAATTCCATTGTAAGTGGTTACTTTTTTTCCAGAACTGATTACGAAGATGAAATTGACACCAAGAAATCAGAAAATAGAGCGGGTGATGAAAATTCTACAATGGAAAAGGAAGACTTGAATCTAAAGTTCCTTGACATGTACAGTACCATCTACTCCATGAGGCAAGACTTGGAGAAAGTTCGGAAACCAACGGGAACCAAAGAAAATCCAGCACGGACTTGTAAAGATCTGTACTATGCCCATCCGCATTACAACGATGGTATGTAAAAATAATAAATGTTTTTATGATAATTAAATTGTCTTCTTCCTCTTCGTAGGTTGGTACTGGATTGATCCAAATGCAGGGATGAAAGATGACGCTGTGTACGTATATTGTAACATTACAACTGAAGGAGAGACTTGTGTATTCCCGGATGTACACAGCTCCAACATACCAAATATCCCTTGGAGGAAAGAAGGCAGTAGAAAGGACTGGTACTCCAACTTAAGGGGAGGGTTTAGGGTAAGAGATATTCATGCTATAACATATACCAAGACCGTTAAAGAAGTAGCTTGCCTACAAACTTTGACCTTGAGTAGCCCAATGCCATTGCGGCATTTCTGACGCGGAATACGTAGTCGGTATATTAATTTTTACCATCTAACTCAAGATCAGTTATTTGAAATTTATTAAATGAAACGGAAACATCTCTTCCTATCCACTCTTTTTTAACTGAGAATCTTTCGGAAATTAGTGGATAGTAATAATGGATTAAATTAAATTACAATCTAACATTTAAAAAAAAAGAGCGAAAACTCCTATGGCACATGACACAGGGAAACTCCCAAAATACAGATGAAAACTGAAATATAGTGAATTTATTATCAAACAAAACAATTATTGGCACTGACGTTATTCAATTTATAATACCAATGACGACACTTTATTGGCGGATGTGACGCGAAGGGAATCAACATGTTGTAGTCGATCTCCTACTTTAGCGATCTTGAACATAAAGTGTTAAATTTTATATTTTAGATATCATACGAAACTATTGGCCGTGTTCAACTGACGTTCTTAAGGCTGCTATCCCTAGAAGCATATCAGAATTTCACTTACACCTGCATCAACAGCGCTGCGTGGTACAACTCTAAAACTTCCAAATACGACATGTCTATAAAACTTTTAGGTGAAAACGAACAAGAATTTTCCCATAGCAGGTTGAAACCCCACGTAATATTCGATGGATGTAAGGCAAGAGACACAAAAAGTGAAACCGTTTTCGAAGTGCGGACTAAAAAGTTGCACCAACTGCCTATTGTTGACTTTCTTCCCGTCGACTATGGTATGCCGAATCAGGCGTTTGGATTTTCCGTTGGACCCGTTTGTTTTAAATGAAGATGCTTAACTTTTAACTGTAAGAGCAAGTCGAAAAAATATAAAAATATTTGTTACTCACACCTATAGTCCATTTATTTTAGAGAAATATTTTACATTGTTTATAGACTTTACATTTTGTTGTTATGGCACCTTTTTTTACTATTTATGATAGATGTAAGAAACGAATGTACATATTTTATGCGATCACTGCCATTTTGTATTATAGTTTAAGTTGTTTGTAACTTGTACAGAAATAAAATGAAATATATATAAATTTCCATTATTTAAAAGGTGCTTTTTATTTTTATTTTGACAATACCATTAATTATTAAAAAACTAGACATTATTAAGAAAATAATTAAAATCTTTTAAAACTAATTATGTATGAATTAATCTAATACACCAAATCCATTTTATTTCGAGGTTCTTGGCATATCCATTTCTTATTTTTTAAATTTCTAATATTGCTACATTAACATACCCAATGTCATGGTGTCGACACCTAGAGTAAAAATCAACAAAATTTTATGTACGACGCTTACAGGAATCTGTAGAAGTTAGAATGAGTACAATAATTGTTGATTGATATATTCTGCTTCAGCGAACGGTACAATATTTCAGTCAACGTAGAATTTTGTGTAACCCCCTCTGTAACGTGTTACTTCTCGGTTCTGTTCTTGTTGCCAGACATGATTGACCGCCGCGCTTCTACCAGGCCGCCAACACCAACTATCTACCACAAAACTCAAAACATCTACTACCATTGTCTTCACCGCAATTGCCCCATCGTTCAATCTAGTGCGTCTATGGTTCCGTCAGTATCAGTTCTCCGTAGGGAAATTTGGCATTTTGTATTGGTATCGAGTAGTCCATTTTAGTTATGTCAGAAAATCAGGATTTTTTGTTTTTTCGGTAACAAAAGTTTCAGGTTATATTAGCTGTCATTGGTTGTGAATTTGGAAATGTCTAATACCCAAAAAAAGATAAATGATTTGTTAGATCGCCTAAATCAAGAAAGGAGCCCCCAAAACCAACCAATGAGTGGCTCAAGCAATGGAGGGTTACCTCCTAGCCGCCCAAGTTTGTGTAAGTAGCCGAATTTTTTCTTATATTCCTTCAATATCCCTTTGTTTAAACTATAATTTAATCATATTTCTATTTCAGTGGGCCCAATAAAAAGCAATAGTCCTGTAATGTCTCGACCCAAAGTGTTACAATTCACACCTAGACCAAATGATAATCTAGAAACTGAAAGAAGGTTAAAGGAAATAATGAAGATCAGTGGTGATTTAAAAATAGATGGAGTCCTCTATAAAACTAATATAAAAGATATGGAAGATTTAGAGGAGTTAGGAAATGGCACCTGCGGTCATGTAGTTAAAATGAGACATAGGCCTAGTGGAAATATTATAGCAGTTAAGGTAAATTTGGTCTGTGCACCCATATTTTCATTTGCTTGATATATCAGTAGAATATCTACATTTCATCCAATTAAGTGGTTCTAAAGTTTATTAGACTATCTAAACTGAGTTAGTTAATATTGATGTTTACAGTTTTTATATTAAATGATTTCTTATCTCAGTTTATGCAAATGAAAGAAAACGAGTTGTTACAAGTTTAAATACATATTTAAAATGATTACCACGAAAATAGTGATAATGCAGAACTCTGGCCTAATTTCCCAGTGTGCAGTTGGAACTACTAAGCCAATATTTATAACAGAGAAATTACTATGCTAAAATGCGTGTTAATAAGTTTGTATATTTTATCCCGAAATCATTATCTTGAGGTTTTAACAGATCACATTTTCTTTGTAGCAAATGCGACGTTCAGGAAATCCTGACGAAAATAAAAGAATCATAATGGACATTGAGGTAGTACTCAAATCACACGACTGTAAATACATAGTTCAATGCTTAGGCTGTTTCATAACAGAATCTGAAGTGTGGATCTGTATGGAACTCATGGACACTTGTTTCGATAAATTACTAAAGAGATTTAAGCAGCCCCTCCCCGAAGAAGTTTTGGGAAAGGTCACAGTTGCGGTGAGTTGTTTCAAGGTCCTCGTTTGAAGATGCAGTAAACGTTGATTTTTTATAGACTGTTGAGGCTTTATCCTACCTGAAAGACAAACACGGAGTCATACACAGGGACGTAAAGCCTTCGAATATTCTCCTCGATACTAAAGGTAACGTGAAGCTTTGTGATTTCGGGATCAGCGGCAGACTCGTCGATTCCATGGCTAAGAGTAGGAGTGCGGGGTGTGCCGCTTATATGGCGGTAAGTACACGCTTTTGTTTGATTTAAATGCGTAGATTAGAGTTCTGTGTTGAGAAAGTACTGCAAACTAGCGGTATTCGCTTAAAAAAATGTGGAAACCAGTAAATTTTCTTTATCATGTTAACTTGTTAGTTATGTTACTCGTAAAACTTAATTTTGTGTCACACAAGTTTTTTTTAATTTATTTCTAGTTTCATACAATGAACTAATAAATTGTAATGCTATAATTTGTATTTTTCATAAATCATAACCGAAATTAATTATGATAACGGCATCTGCCATTTCGACTACAAAGTAATGGGACAATCAATGACATTACTGAATCGATGGTTTCTGTTATCCGCTGTTCAAATAAAAGTGCGTGAAACAAAATTTGTCAAAATTATCTTAATTTTATTAATATTATGAAGAAATTTATGTAGACTGCTTCAAAAAAAAAAAAAGTTCCTACAAACTTGTGCCTGCATTGTTTTCATAATTTAGGGTGTTGAATTTTTGACAAAAAATTGTCTTTTTTTTTGCTCATAGTACTAAATGTCTCTGTCTTCTTCAGAAGAAACTCACTGACTTTAGTACTTATTTGCTTCGGCTTGAAATTTGTGTATTTTCCAGCCCGAGCGAATAGAACCGGACCCCCAGAACCCGGACTACGATGTCCGGGCCGACGTGTGGTCCCTCGGTATAACCTTAGTGGAATTGGCGACTGGAATATTCCCATACTCAGATTGCAAGACTGATTTTGAAGTGCTCACCAAAGTGATAGCACAGGATCCGCCGTCTTTACCTCAGGACAAAGATTTTAGCCCTGTATTTAGAGACTTTGTATCTTGTTGGTATGTATAGGACGCCCCAGAAACTCCCGATAAGTGTTCCAGCATATCTTTGTGGGTCATTTAGAGGCCTAATTAATTTTTCTTTAAATAACTCGACAAAATTACTTTGAGCTAAATTTTTTGGATTTTAAATGACAAATTAGATGGTGACCTCAGATTTGAGGCAACACTCTCCAGAATGGTCCTGTCATCAAATTTTAATTATTAACCTTACAGTGTGTTAACTTTCGTCAAGATCATACTAATAGTTTTAGTTGAATGCATCGATTAAATTCTATTACTCTTACTCTATTCTATTACTCTTGTGCAAAACGAGTTTGATCTTCAAATGAGCTACAAGGACTTCTTAGACAAATTAATTGATCCAAGATTGCGACATCAAATTTGATGCTGTATCAATTGCTGTCACAGAAAATAGATACTCCATATGATACTAATTTGACCTTAGTTGACCTTGCAGCTTGTGAAGGTTAAACCCAAGGTCGCCATCTAATTTGTGATTCAAAATCCTACAAATCTTGAAATAACTTTGAGTTTTTTAGAGTTTTCTCTAAATAAACCCATAAAACCTATTTTTATGGGTTTTACCTTTAAATGACCTGCAGAAATGTACAGGAAAAATTTGCTGATCCCATATTCGTATGTAAAATTCGGCACTCTATCAATTGCTGGCATAAAAAACGGGTTCCATTCAATATTTTCGTGTTGACCTTGGTTTGACCTTGACATCTCCAGTTAAGGTCAAATCCAAGGTCAATAGTTAATCTGAGGCTCAGGTCTTTTTGGGACTGCCTGTATATGGTGCTATTAAGTGGATTTTCCTTCTAATGTATGTTTATTTACTGGCAAATGAAACAGCAAAATAATGTAAAATGAAAAAGTTAAAATTGCCGAAAATACGTATTATTTTGTTGTAATAGCCAATGACAAAATCAAACTCGCTACAAGACGATGATCTTAGGATAATACTGTCGTTAGTGTAATGTTTTTCGTGCTTTGTGACGTGTAACAGTCAAATGTGCTTTTTACTCCGTTTTGGTCCATTGATGACGATTTTTTCCCCCGTCTTTAATGTAAGGCGTGGTCTATCTCATCCTGTGTGTCTTTCACGACGCTCTTGTAGTATCTGTCTAGTATCTCAGACTCGGACCATAAACAAACCTCGCCAGAAAACTTTTTATTACGATGTGAAGCCTCTGTAGCATTTTGCTGATATTCACCGTAGATTAACAACACATCAACGTGTTCATTATTGTCATACAAATATTACTAGGAAGTTTCCTAAATGTGTAGTGTCCAGTTAATACTTATTGATCTGCGATTTAGTTCAGTGGATGCGCTGTCAGTTCCTCCGACGGCTTGCCTCCAATGCTGTAAGAAAGGAATTAAACTTGTGTTTGCATCATGTTTTCCATAATTTGTAAAGAAATTTTTAAATCACGTACAGTACGTTTTTATTTGTAAGTTCATTGACAACAATTTCTAAAATTTCTTCCTCTGTCTGTAACGTCTTTTCCACTACGCCCTCTTAATTCTCTAGTGTCTTAGACTTGTATATGAGCTAAAAAATCTCTGTGGGGCCAACAGAACCTCCACATAGAACTTCTGCCTAATGGCGGTACGCCTCAGCAGCATTTTGCTGGCGTTCACCGTAAATGAATGTTTTTTCCAAAAATTATTTATTTTTGTCATTTAAAAGGAAAATCCCACTCCCAACGGCACGCTGTGCAATTGAAAGTATTTTTACGGTGATTTATGTGGCGGTTTCAGTTTAACTAAAGATAAGAAACAGAGGCCTAAGTACACGAAACTGAAGAACCACACCTTCATAAAGAAGTACGAGACTGTGAATAACGTGAACGTAGGAGAGTGGTATGTAGCACTTACTCAACGAGCCGAAGACGTGGCAAGTAAGGCGCCGTCCAGGTACGTTGCATGGTTAGTCTCGATTTTTTTTATTACTATACTTACCTTCTAATATTTTAATTTGCTTGATTTCGTGAATGGTGTAGCCTTTTTTAAAAACAGAATGAAGATGTGTCTATGTGATTGACTGGTACTCCAGCACTTAGGTTTGTATGCCTTTTTGTTCCTTTTTTTTTATCGATTTATTCAAGCATGAAATTAAGGATAATGATTTATTCTCACCAGTGTATCAGTTTTTTATCATTATTCAAACAAACACGAAAAATGCGAGGAAGTAAATTTGTATCAGTTCAACAAGTTCCTGGAAACAACTTAAATCATTATTACTAATTTTTTTTAAGGGTATTTTATTTTGTTTCTAAAACAGATCCGTTTATTGTTCTCCAGTTTATTTTTTAATCCGATAGAAGAGTAAATCATTAACTAGAGATGGAATGCCTTCTGTTAACTTTCATTAATACATTAATCAATAATTCGAGTTTGACTAGATAATATGCGTGTGCACCTATTATTTTTCGTTTTATGTGAAATTCACTGTGACCGTCACCTTTGTGTAACAGCACTGGACTGAAGCGTTTGCCTTTATTTAGTAACCGAAATGTGTTCCACTTCATTGTAGATTAGAATAAGTTCGTAGTTATTTAAATCATAAATACGAGTACATTCTTGGCATGTCGAGTTAAGAAATAGAGTGAAGAGACGTCCCCGAATCGCACAAATTTGGAATAATTTTAACGTGTGCAAATTTAATGAAATCGGGAAATTGAATATAACGGAGTTTGTTTGAATAAGTTGCGATTTTGGGACGTCTATGATATCGATATGCATTGAAATGATTATTCATTTCTGAAAGTTTATAAAATAAAATAATGTACTTGATGTATGGTGCGTTTCACTTAAGGAAGGTTATACATTTGTATAAGAAGTCAATTTTAATGTTTTTTTCATTTATGTTTATGGCGTATTATTATACAGGGTGATTCAGAACTTAGTCAAAAAAAATTTTGGATGTATAGGGGACAAATACAATTTTTTAAAGAAAAAGTCAAAAAGGGCAGTTCGAAAACCTGAGTGTGATAAAAACGGACAAAAACTTGAAAGAATTTCGCAAGGAAAGAAATCAATAGAATTCTATACAGGGCCGGCGGAAGTGGTGAAACAGCGAAGCACATGTTTCAGTCGTCATTTTTTTAAGGGCAACATTTTAAAACTTGATTATTAACCTTTCATAAATTTCAGAAATTGAAAATTGCACAAAAACCTGAAAAAAACATTGTTTGACCCCAAATGCGAGCTTTGTGCTTTTATTAATTATTTAGAAATCAACGAATTGAGCGAAATTTCCCCGGTAGTATCTTTAAGGATTTTGTTAACCATTCCTGTATCTGTGGCCAGTGGAGAACGTTCTTTTTCAATATTAAAAATTATAAAAAAATATTTACGATCAACCGTGGCGCAGGAACGGTTAACAGACTTCGAGAAAGATGTCACAAATAATTTGGTTTACGCTGATATTATTGAAGACTTTGTTAATGAAAAATGTTGACATTATTTAGTTTCTTTTTTGTTTTTATTGAATATTTTTTATTTTCAGTTTTTTTGGAATATCTGTTTTATTTTTTATAAGATGTTTCTTATATTTTCTGTTTGTTTTTATTTTTTATAACTTTTTATTAATAAATTTGTTGTGCCAACGGGCGGCAAGTAAATATTTGCTTCAGGTGCCAAATAACCTGGCGCCGGCCCTGATTTTATAGCACCTATTATTTCAGAAAAATCAACTGCTTTTGCCGCTATTATTATTAATTAATAAAATTAATTTGTGGTTTTAATTAATAAAATAATTTGACATACCTGATGTTACAACAACTATTCAAATATTTGTCCACCGACGTGTAAACACATTTGGGTCCGTCTACTCAGTTTCTACAAACTAACACAAATGTTGTCTTGCTTCACCATAAATTGTAACGATACCCATCAACTAAAAGTTGCTATACACGCAAGCTGATTTTGACACTAACTACTAAAAAACTTTTGTAAACACTATCGCAACGGCGATTATAAAATCGGATTTCAGTATTCCGAGTCGTTGAGGCCACTTAGATCACCACGCGTATTGCGAATGACGCTAGAGACTACAGTTGTCCAGCTATGTAATGGTTGAAAGTACTACAACTTCAATATTTTTCTTCTCGGAAACTATAAGGATTTTACAAAATTTTTTTTACAATATTGACTCCATTTCTCATTTCTCTATTCCCTAATTTTTTTTAATAAATTGTCAATCACCCTGTATATCAGCTACGGCTTTTACTTTTTTTTTCTAGTATTAGTATTAATTATTTTCAGTATTTTTTTCTGAGGTAGTTCAGTTACACTTATCAGTAATCGTTAGTGGCTCCCCTGATCTGATTCTTTTGGCACAAATATTTTTTTAATCATTCATTTCACAGGTGCAAAAATACAATAAATAGGAAAAAAAACACACCACAAATAAGGGAAAAACTAACCACAAATAAATTAAGACAATAGTCAATAGCGTATAGAGCCGTCGCACAGTGAGCGAAAACGCTCAAAATTCCGTACGAAGTGGTAAAAGTTGTCCAAATTGGGATATTTTCTTTTTAAAATACTCGTAATTATGTCCGATTTCTTATGTCACTACGACAATTGTGATATTTTAAGATCTCAACTTGTGATATCTTAAATACTCTTATAAACTATAATGAGAAATGTTTCCCGTTCTTGATACCACAAAATATGAACAATATTTAGCGAATATAAAAAAAGTAAGGTATGAATCTTTAAACCAGTTCATTGAAAACCCTACAGTAACAAATTCTTGAAACCATAAGCCTGAAAATGTAACCTAATAAATCTAAATACATTAAACTAAACCCTCAAAACCTAAACCAACAGGTTTATGGTTTCAAGAATTTGTGATTGAAGGTTTTACAATTAACTGGTTTTAAAATTTATACTTTACGTTTTTTATATTCACTAAATATTCTTCATATTTTGTGGTACCTATCATTTATGGAAAACATTTCTGATTGCAATTTATAAGAGTATTAGGATATCGCAAGTTGTGATCTTAAAATATCGCAATTGTCACAGTGACTTAAGAAAGTGGATATAAGTAAAAAAAAAATATCCCAATTTGGACACTTTTTACTACCTTGCACGGAATTTTGAGCGTTTTCGCTCACTGTGCGTCGGGTCAAGCTAGTCAAATTGTGTATCGTCACAAATGTTCTGCGAAGAGATAAATTAAATATTACTGAGTGAAACGCACTACTCTAACCGTTTGACAGTTTCTATATCAATAATCTTTTTTTTTTAATATATATTTTATTATTAGCTCTCATATTTTGGCTTTATTTTAAAGCTAATTCAAATAAATTCAAAAAAATTTCCTAAAAGCCCTATCAATTGAAGTCCGAAGAACCTTTTTAATGTGCGTTTCTAAATCCACCCGACAGACACGCCATGGCGACGAACCCCATCCGCCAATTCTTCACCTCCCACCAGTGGCAACCGCAGGCGTCCCAGAGCCTCACAAACGGGAACTCCCGCCCCACATCACAAAAACAACAACCCAGCCAACACCCGATACCGAACCCCCAGCCGGAGGGCCGGACGCCCCACGCGTCCCGCCTCTCCTCGTTCCAGTCCAGTCACCAAAGAGAAAGTCACCAGCCAGCCGCACACCAAAGGACAGACCCACTTCTTCACCAAAGCACCAGCCCAAATACTAGGAGTTACTCGCCCTTCCAAGCATATCAGAACCACGTGGCCTTGCTGAAAGAGCAGAGCTTGATGGAGCACAAGCCCATCCCCCTCCCGGGTGAGCGCCAGCAGAGCAACCCGTGCTGTTCGCCCCTGTCGCCTAGGAGGTTGACGGAGAGTCCGGCGAACGCCCCCTACCAGCACAGGAGGGTAGTGAGCGAGAGCAGGTGGAGGTCACCCAATGCTTCGCCTCTTCCCCTTAGGAGCCAGTTCCAGACGGAAGAGCAGCAGTACAACTGCGGAAATACCAGCCCCATCATATTGCAGAGGTTCTATCACCAGCAGAAGCAGCAGCAGATGGTGAAGGAGGCCGAAGAATCAGGTAATTAGTTTGTTGTGAGTTTGGTCCTTCGAACAGGATTTAGTTATAAACAACAGCTACGTGAAACTTTATAAAATATCAAGAAGTATCGAAGATTTTTTTGATATTCAGGTAAAAAGCGATTTGCTTCCTACATCAAGCTGCAGCTGAGCGGTGACAGAAGCGGGAGGTCGTCAAGGCACCAAAGCCCCGAGCCTCCACCTCGTCTAAACAGACGTTCCAGCAGTGAAAATCAAAGCCCGCTAGCCTTACGTAGAAATTTCTTAGAGGCGCATACCGCCAACTCACCCAGTTTATCACGAAGGTAAGATAGAAAATTTTTTAATACAGGGTGTTCAGAAGCGATGTGCTAATAATTTAATAGGCCAGTGAAATTGTCGAAAATACCTCGTTTTTTTGCTAAAATTTATTTCAGTAAACAAAGATGTGTAAAAATTAGGAAAAATTCCGTAGAATTGAATGAACTACTTTATCCCAGCTGAATGTTAGGGTTTTATTTTCAAAATGGCGTCCAAAGTTCACAAAAAATATTTTTTTTCATTTAAAAAACATTTTAGAAAAAAAATGTTTTAGGCGAAAGTTGTAAAGCTTTTTATAACAAAAATTTTGAGCCCAGCCCGATATCAATTGATAAACAAATGTATTAGTTATTGCAAAAAAAATGGCTAAAAATCGCAATTTTTAAAAACTTCTATATCGTTAAAACGAAAAAAGATTTTTTTACAAAACTTTCGAAATATGTAGTCTGGCAAGTGAAATAAGTATATTTTTGTAAAATTGACAAATATTAGGTAGTTTCTACAAAAATTGAGTTTTTCGAAAAAAAGACATTTTTTTCAACTTTCAATAAATCATACAGTAATGCACTTACATTACCCATCTTGGGCTAAAAAGCAAATTGTGCGGGTATTGCGAAATAATTGGAATTATCCGAAAAATGTACCGAAACTTTGACTTCTTTTTCGTGGCGAAAAATGTAGATCTTTTTCTTATCGTTGATATTTAATCGGAATGGCATTATTGCCATTTAAAAGTTGACATTTTTTCGCGAATTTAAAAAAAAATTACCTACGACCAACAGAAGCCGAGAAATTTTTTTCTATTTTCAAAAAATCACTCATATTAATATTATGGTCTGAAATTTACATATGTTGTAGTTAAATACTTCTATTTCAGTATAAAAAATAGTCCGCGATGATTGATCCCCTTTTTTTTTACAATAAATTTAATTTTGTTGGGCGCCATAAAATGCTTGTTCCGCTTGACACATTGATGCGCGTGGTGGGGGGCGAAAGACTGTGACGCGACTGTCGCATTTGGCGATCCTACGTAATGAACTGTAAAATTTGGCTCTCACAGCGTATATTTTAATACCTACTATTCAACTATTAACCAAAATAAACAATTAGATAAACTAATTTCCAATTACCTTTTACATTTATCAAAAATCTTGCCTACAATATGCTACTGTTCCCCCTCCATGCGAGGCGGTTAAAATAACGTGATTTAGGAGACAACTGGGACCGACTCGGCCTAAAATTATGACTCTGCCTACAAATTTTACCTTGATTTATGAAAATCTGGCTCCAGATGTGTGATTAATGAAGGTGAGATCAACCAGCAATCTTTATGTTGCCAAATTTTACTGAAGTCGGTGGATTTCAAAAAAGTACACCCGCCATATTGAATCAGCCATCTTGAATTTTAACAATGTGAATTCATATTCGTAATCAGCGACCCAAAAAACCCCTTTATACAAAATCTGGTTAAAATCCGCTCAGAATTTGAAAATAGCGATTCCTGCTCGGTTTTTTGAGGTTAGAAAAAAAAACACGTTCTAGCTCAATTCTGACAGTGGATTTGAATTCAGCAGAGTCTTTTACATAAAAATGTACTATTTGATGTGGAAATAAATTTTTTTCCAAATTTTCCCAGTAAATTTTCATCAATTTTCACTATTTTTCACAAGTTTTTTGAGGTTAGGAAAAAATTGTGACGTGATGGGCCAATACTGACCCCAGATTCGTGTTCAGGAGGCCAAATTACTATGAAAAATATGTCGCATAAAAAGTATACCCAACTTTTTTTTTTCTGTGTGGCTGTGTAATGATTTTTTAATTTGTTTTACTTTTTTAATAAAATAATTTAGTAAAAACTTGAGGATTTAAGTACAATAAAGTTTATTAATAATGTATATACAGTGTGTCCACGGATGGAGTTGACAAGAGGAGAAACTCTTGTTTTTGACTATTAAAAAATGACACTCTTTATAAAAAGTTCTGCCCCTCGAAAAAATAAGACTGTCATACAAACATCTTAGATTAGATATACAGGGTGCTCATTAATTTAAAAAACGCGAAAATACTCGAGAGAGAAGTACCATTATTTATTATTTTACACAACATTTTTATAAAACAATTCTGTTTATAACCTCAAATAATTTCCTAATACAAATTTTAAAATCAAAATTTCAATTTTTGAGGAGGGAAAAATTTCAATTTTGACTTTTACTCTATATGTATAGCTACTTCGCACCTCAAAAATTGAAATTTCGATTTTGAAATTTGTATCAGGAGATTATTTGAGGTTATAAACAGATTTGTTTTATAAAATTGTTGTGTAAAATAATAAATAATGGTACTTCTCTCTTGAGTATTTTCGCGTTTTTTAATCCTCGTTTTGAAGGAAATTTTATCTACTTTTTTTTCTATGAAGCAGTGCCTATACCGGCTATACCTGTCTTTACTCAAAAAAAAACTAGAGGCAAAAATCGAATTTTTTGCTTTTTTTTCAAATTGTTTATTAACGATTTTTTTGTATAAAATGTTCCTTTCAAATTTGTTAAATAAGCCATTTCGATGGGAAATTCAATTCTCTAAATAATTTTTCCTATGAACTATAGCGAAATTTTGCTTCGTTTTCGAGCTACAATTAAAAAACTGAAAGGGGTGCATTTTCACCCCTATCTACAATTTCCACCCTCTAATTTGATAGCACTCCGCGGTTTTTTCATCTAAAATGACCCTTTGAACGATTCATGCAATAAAATTGCTTGAACGTCATAGTTCCTTTTAACCATGTTTTTTTTTGATATAATCTATGGCTACCTTATAAAAATTTGTTTTTCTATTTTTTCATTTTTTTTTAATATTCATGAACCAAGTAGGAACAATTTTAATGCATCACTTTGTTTTTTTTCTGTTACTTAATTTTATTGTAAGCGGCGCCTTTTTTTTCTTTCTTGCTCACCTAGTAAAAAAGCCACTGGCCTCACCTATTGACAATGTCACGAGCCACCACTGAATTATAATGACTAATTTTATTTTTTTTTTTTAACACGTTAAGAATTAATATTAAGCTGTTCAATTTTGTGAAAAACCGCAATTGAAACTCTTTTCTAGTCTTTTAAACTCTTTAGATTGTTGAAAATCGTTCAATCTGTGATGAAACAAATTATTGCAAAATTACTTTAAAATTATGTAACTTTGCTAATATTTAGTTTTCAAAAGTGTATTACTTTCTTCTGTAGAATCACCCAAAATTTTTTGCTCATAGTTTACAAACACCCTATATATTCACATCACATTTTGTACAAAATCGAGGTATGTTGGGTTTTTCAAAAGACTTGTTTCTATTTCGTCAGTTACGAACTTTATTCTTTTGATCTTAACAAGGTACGTTTCTCCGACACCGCCGGTGCCACCCCCCAGGAGGTTATCGGAGAGCACATCGGTTCCCGGGTCGCCGCAACACCTGCGGTCCAGGTTCCACTACACCCCCGAGCCGCAAAGGAGATTATTTCACGACAACGATATATCATAACACTGGTATTTATAGCCTAGTTTGTACTTAGTCAAAGTAATATTTTTCGGTTTGTCAGAAATGTTTGTGTAAGAGAACCCTCATTCGGTTTGGAAAATTATCGTCGGAACTCAGCGGGGTTTCGCGCAGTAAGTTTTATGAATGTGCTTTGGTGCTTTTCATATAAAAAAAAAATCTCAGAAATTTGTCAAAGATGTCGCAGCAAACGGGCGTGTTTGTCGCTGGAAAAAATTGCTGTTGATTTTCTCTAATCATAAGGCTGACATTTTTAACAAGAAATAATTGAATTATTTTAGATGTGTACTGCTGATGCTATTCTTAAATTTGTGGTAAGTACGGCAATTCCATCTGCGAGCATCCTTTATTTCTCCTCAAAATTATAATTTTCCGTGTAAAGATCCCAAAAGGTTACTTTCACCCTTAAATATAGGCCTATGCATCCAGAAATAAGGGGTACCATATAGAGTAATTTTGAAGAACTATATTTGTGCATATTTTTACAACTTATACGTAAGACAAAACCAAAAAAAAAATAAAATAAAATAAAAATCGAAAAAAGTTCTTCGAAACGCCTCACAAGTTTTCAGTTGTTTCTCACTGCCAGAAAATGCATATTCGAAATCATGTTGGCAGACTGTTATTTTTGTTGTTTTTTGTGTTCTTCTTTACGAAGGAAATAGTCATCGTACATTGCTAGTCTTTAATCCGTCAGGATAAATGGTTGCTGGTCGTGTATTATTTTATTTTAAGTGACGATATAGCGTGTGACACACGAGGATTTTAAAATATATCCTTAGTTAATTCAAACAAACAAAAAATGCTCAAAATATAAAAAAATACAAGAAAAAAAAATATTTCAAACATAATAATTTATCTTAATTCATATTTATCTATCCCACAAGCTTTTAGGGAAAAATATTCTAGACTTTTAGATTTTTGTCCATATATTTTTTTATTTTTCTGTAAAAATGTGAGATAATGTATATAAATAATCATTTTAACTGGAATTTTATATAAAGTTTGTCAGGCGCTATATCACAAGACTATTTTAATGTGTAGTTTTAGTTTTCAAAGAAATGTTTGTTATTGGACTGATATTTATTGTAAGAAAAAATAACTCGTTTTTTTGGTTCCTCTACCGTCACATAATCTCTTTAAATATACCTTTTAGGCGCTTCTCTCACTTTTAATTCACGTTAGAAACCTGAGAGGAAGCCGGACGAATCGAGGTGTTATTTTTTCTGCTATGTTAATATTAGTTGAATTGATCATTCTTAACATTAGTTTTGAGAAAATAAAATTATAGAGAAACGCTATTTACTAATTTATTATCGATTGAAGGCTGTTGATACTTTTTCAAATTAATTATCTTGTATTTCATTAAGTGTGAGTTGAATATTTTAAATATTTTCTGATTGTATTTAATTGTATATAATGATAAAAGATGCAATGCCATACCTGAGATATTATGTATAGTTTGATTTTTATGATGTAAATATACCTGACTATGATTAAAATATATTTTAAGGCAACAGGGCCTGTTTATTTCACCCTGAACACCCCCAAGTTTTCACAAGAAATGCATAAGGTGGAAATTAGACTGTGATGCAAAAGTGCAACAATGGCAACGTGTACTCCTCAAGAATATTACGACAATATTACATACAGTGCTGTATGTGATTTTAGAAACCATACATTCATACTGCACTCCTTTGTTTTAGTTTGGTGTCTGTTGTAGAGAAAATGTGCTTAGAAATTTTTAATGTTGGGCCATAACCGCTGCTCTGCACGAAAAAATGTAATATACTGTTCACTTTGCAGTGTACTGATAATCAAAATGCGTGGATGCACTTGGAACATTCTACGAGTATTGTTACAAGCACTAAACTAATGCAAAAAATTAAAGGGTCAAAGGAATTTCCGAAATTTTTCCGTGATTTTTGACAGACTGTATTTAGGTGAAAAATGGTCATATCGAGAATTAAAAAAAAGCATTTTGAAGCCCTAAGATTCTAGTTTTTAGGTCTTTCGGGCGAAACTGTTTAGGAGCTACGGTTATCAGCAATTCTAAGAAATAGCGTGACAAAAAAATTTTGCAATTTTTTTTTTTCAAAGTTCACGGACTTGGAAATAATTTTTTTTTTTCACTATGGACCAGATAGCTTGTTTATTCAGCATCAATTTCCTTTTTTTTTAATTTCGGTACGACCATTTTTCATTGAAATATGGGACTTTTAATGAAAAAGGATCCTTTTGTCATTAATCATAATATCTTGGCGACAAATGGAGAATTGAAGGGCAGTTTCGAAAACGAATAAATTTCCTATAACACACTGCAGCAACTTTTTGGAAAACATTTTTTTTTTTTTTCATATTTTACACGAATTTTAAGAAACAGGAAAAAAGAGTAATTTATGGTTTTTTAGAAAATTGACGGCTAAATTAGAAATATTCACGAAATGACTAATGTTAAGCATGACTTTTACAGTTCGATATACCCAGAACAAGCCTGTGATGTTTCATTTTGATCTAGCGGACCGTTTCTTTGTTTCAAACAGTCAAACTTTTGAAAAAAATTAGTCACGTTTTTTCAGCTTAAACACTTCATAATTAATCATGATTGAAATGGAAAAAAAATATATTTTTTGAGGTTTTCTCACATTTTTACCGCAAATAACGTTTAAATTGAAAAAAATAAAAAAAATTCGAATTTTTAAAATTTTTTTTCGGAGAAAAAAGGGTAGTTTTGAAAAAAACCTGTTTTTTAAGCGATTACAGACTGCACAAAAATTAATTAGAAATTTGTCTCAAAAAACGGTACAAATCGGGGTCAAAATCTGGTTTGGGTCATCAACTTTAATAATTGTTATTTAATTAAAAGCTGAAGCATAGGACGGAAAAGCCGAATCGTGCTGTAAACAATTGGATTTTGTTTTTTTCAGTGTCCGGAAGGTTTCCAAAAAAAATTTCGAAAATCGTTTTTTCAGTTAAAGGTAAAATTGTGACAAAACCCCAAAAAAAATTTTTTCCCATTTTAATCATGATTATGAAGTGTTTAAACTCAAAAAACATGACCCTTTAATTTTATTCAAAAGTTTTTACTGTTTGAAACAAAGAAACGGTTTGCTAGATTGAAATGAAACTCCACAGGGTTCTTCTGGGTATATCTAACTGTAAAAGTCCCTTTTTTTCTTGTTTTTTAAATTCGTTTAAAAGATGAAAACATTTTTTTCCGAAAAGTTGCAGCATGTTATAGGAAATTTATTCCAATTTTCGAAACTGCCCTTCAATTCTTTGTACGACCATTTGTCGAAGAAATATCGATGATTGAAGACAAAAGGATCCTTTTCCGTTGAAAGTTCGATATTTCGATGAAAAATGGTCTTATCGAAATTTAAAAAAAGGAAATTGAAGCTGAATAAACAAGCTATCTGGTCAATGTAATGGCTTAGCCGAACAAAATTTTTCAGAAAAAAAAAAATGGAAATTTGCAAATTTTTTTTTACGCGCTATTTTGTACAATTACATGATGACTGTAGCTCCTAAATAATTTCGACTGAAAAATCTAAAAACTAAAATCCTAGAGCGTCAAATTGCTTTTTTTAATTCTTGATATGACCATTTTTCACCTAAATAGTCTACTGAAAATCACGGAAAAATTTCGGAAATTCCCTTGACCCTTTAATTTTTTGCATTAGTTTATTTCTATCTTTGTTTATCATATACAGAATAAAGACGACCAGTGTTGATAATCTCATCTCTTGATTTGTCAGTTTTCAATTGGGCGTTTCTTTCATGTCATATGCGTGCAGGAGGGAAAAACGCATTATTTTCACATTTTAGTTATTTCAAGTGTTTTTAAAAATAAAATAATGTGCAAGTGTTAGTTGCTAGTCTGCAAAATAAGGCTGTGTAAAGAAGAAAATTTAGCAGATGTTGTACAATGAACAATGTTTATTAGGCAATTCAAACACAAAATGTGAATACCTCAGTGAGTGATGCTTTGCAAATGTGTAATTCTTCAACAAAAATGTCTCCAGTGGTGTTTATTTATGCTAAAATGTCAAGAAAGCGCATAAAAAAAAACAAAATGTGGCAGGGAAAAATTTAAATTACAAAGACGTAAAATATGCGACTTGTAGGAAGATTCACGAATTTTATTTTAAAAATTAACTAACATTAAAGAAAATTCAAACAGCAGTCACAAAAGACGAAGATTTGCCTATACTGTCCCGAAGAGCTTTATTACATACTATGCACGAAATTAACTTTTGTTTTAAAAAAATATGCTAATAGAAAAAAATACAAAAAAATATGGCAAGAAGAGTATTTAGAAAAAATAATAGCGTGTCCTATATTGAAAATGAAAATTTGTTATCTCGACATCTTGTGCAACAAATGCCCATGGCATTGTACAGGGTGTCCCGAAATTAATGCCAAGTGGGCCCCTCTTTCGGAGTTACAGCTCCCTGAAATCTGCATCTAAGAATAGTCTTTTTTTTTATATCTCGGAAACCTATTGTACGAGAATCACTAAATTTGGTACAAACGGGTTTCATCACATGTGGAATCTGATAGTGCACGCTTTTTTGCGGGGAATCCCCATATTTAAATTTCTTAAAAAATATTAGTACACTTTTTTTGTCCCTTTTTTCTCAAAAACATTGCGTTTTACGAAAAAAATATCAAGAGATAAAAAAATTTCTAAATGCAATGGTTTTCTGGGGAATTAATAAGTTTTAAGAAATTAAAATATGCGACCAAATTTCTTTGGTTCCAAAGACAAGGGGGCCCACGAAATAGTGTCTTAAGGGGGTTCCCCGCCAAAAAGCTTAGCACTATCAATTCCATATGTCATAAAACCCCTGTACTTATACCAAATTTACTGATTCTCGTACAACAGGGTTCTGAGATATAGAAAAGACTATTCTTAGGAGCTGTAACTCCGGAAGAGGGGGCCACCTGGCAAAAATAAAAAATCGGGTCCCTAAAGGACCTCGCACTTTTCTTATGGGAAGTGGCTTTCAGCCAATTTTTTTTAAACTTCGCAGGTTGATAGTTCTTAACATGTAGATCAAGTCTCAATGGGCATAAAACCCTAAACCCACCCCTTCCCCCCAAAAACTGCCACCAAGTAGCGGTGGGTCAACCCAACAACGACCCCAAACAACCACATTTTTGACTATCAAACTACCCGTCTTGACCCCGCACCCCATGAATCAGCCTATGGATTATCCATATTACTGTATTTTATAGTTGCACGTATTTTTTGCACATATATATTTTTTTCATATGTATTTTTTCACGCTGAATACGAATCTGCAACTCAATTTTACGAATTCGGGTCAGGAAAACACAAAAATCTTTTTTTTAGATTTCATTGAAATAAAAAACTTATTTGAAACTTTTTTTCATAAAACGACAAGTAAACTCCCCGCTACTTGGAGTCAGTTTTTGGGGGGGAAGGGGTGGATTTGGGGATTTGTGCCCATTGAGACTTTTGATCTACATGTTAAGGACTATCAATCTGCGTAGTTTCAAAATTATTACCCGAAAGCCACTTCCCATAAGAAAAGTGTGGGGTCCTTTGTCTTAAGAATCTGACCAAATTTTATTGCATTAATTTTGGGACACCCGCTATATGCCACGGTGGTTTTATTTCTTCAACCACACACTAATGAATTTCTTTCTATGGGAATATATAGAGTCTGCTATATGCTTTACGTGTAGTGAACATGACCTACTGCAAGTCATCAACAATACCGCAAACACGATTCATGAGCAATGTATGCCTCGAATGAAACAGCAAAACCTTCAAATATTTTTCTTTTGGCAGTGTTTGATAATCTTAAACAAATTATATTAAAGGACAACACATATATAATCGGTTATGATTTATTTTAATTTTAAATTTAAATAAATCACCCTGTATACTTATATACCTATATATATTTGCTGATTTTTTAGTTTTTCCAAAAAAAAACCTTATTAAACTTGACTAATAACTTTTATTCCCTTAAAATATAAATACACTTTAATTATATTGTCTTTACATAATAGCATTAATATGAAAACTCTGCAAATCACAGAACCAATATATCGATAAAAGTTAACACATCCCAGCGCTGACGTTCCCCCAGTAGAATCCCTAATCCGTCTCCGGCTTTGCTACAATCCTAGAGCTGAAAATCAAAACGTACAGTGTGACAACTACATATCTAAACGACTAAGAGCGATGGGCTACATACCAAAGAAAAAATGGTGGTGAAAGTGCGCAAGCTGTCAGTAAGCAATGGTTTACCGAGGATGAGGTTTGGTTCGCATATAGAATTGCACCTCCCGTGACAATGAACTAGTGGAACTCCATCTAGACATCTAACCATAACCACAAATACGTAAGCCACACCACCAAATATAAACTAATATCTATGTGTTGTTTGTGTCTACGCTACTTAGTTTGGGAAACCCAATTCCGCCATTCCGTGGCGGGAAATTCAAGCGAAACGCATGCAAGGCAAAATATTTGCTAAACAGATGATGTAAATAACTTTTCATTACAAAAAATATGAAACAGCGAAAAACATAATCTGTTTAACGTGATTTATATTTAGAATCTATGTACTGGGTGTTTAAATAAAAAAGAACGTCGATCTTGGGAATAGTTCGTCGTAGAGCGCTGAGAAAGAAAAAAATGTTAGTAAAAGCGGCCACGAGATGTCGTTGGGATTTATTTTTGAGTTCCTCGGTGTGCCACAAGATGGCGTACGAGGTATGGTTAACTACAAAGACATCTTTTTAATAATATGTACTGCGCAATCCCCCGTAAACTTTATATCATTTTTTGGTGTAACTTGACAAATGAAGGTAGAACGGTGAACAATTGAATAAAAAAATTCTTTAATTTCAATGTAGGACGGTTTTACGGATTGTTATGCTACTGTTGGTCACGTCAGCTACAGACTTACAATTAGCCTTAACGAGGCATCTTTGATCTGCTCTTGGGCTAGGCTTTGTGGAGGCGAACCTGCCATCAGAACCCTTACGTTAACCCAGATGTTCATTTCGGTTCTTTTCGTTGGTGCTAAGGCTGTTCGGGTGGACTAATACATTTTTTCTCGATGCTCAACTATGAACCGTTCCTAAGATATGACTGATGTAATTTCTTATTTGGACACCCAGTACGTAGTGGATCAAATTCGATAGGATTTGGTGTCATTCGATACAAAAAAGAACTGGTTCTGGGTTTTAATTTTAGAGAAAAAAATGGTGGCGCAAACCGCAGTCTGTTGTCTTGACATTTCAAAGATACAGAGCGGTGCTCGTAAAAGGACAATTTTGTCTAACCACTGCATCTCCTAAGTACTGGATTGAAACAAAAAGTATGTTTACCTGTTTCTTGAGATTTAAAGAAAACTAGTCTCCAAATTCCATCAAATTTGGTTCACCCTGTACGTATATAATTTGTATATTTTTTTAAGTTATAAAAAATAAAGCCTTGAATTTTGAAGAACTTTTGCTCAAAGTATTTTTGTACAATATGCAGGAAGTTAAAAAATGATCTACTTAGCTTTGAAGGAAACAACCGACTGTCTTGAATTTGGTGTGTAAAATAGATATGTCAAAAATGTTTACTCTCTAGATAGTTTTTCTCCATAAATATTTTTAAAAATCAATTACCCAATCTGAAATCCATGGATAGAATATTTTTTTAGCAAAACATTTGTGATTTTAACAAATTGAAAACTACGAACAGTTGAAAGGTTGAATCGGATTTAGCGAAATAAAAATGAGGATTGCTAACGACTATTCTTTTATTCACAATTATTTCCTATTTAAAAACGCTAAGTATAACACAGTCCTAAAATATATTGGAATGTATAAAATATGCACACACCTACTTTATAAAAAAAAAGTTACAAACAATAGTCGCATGCATTGCACAATCAAAATTCTTAAAAAATACCAATAAAAACCATGCTTGCAACGTTAAAACACATCCTTACTTTTTTTTATTCCTTATGAAATGTTAGTTTTCCTCTTCTAATAAACAGATACAAAGATTAAAAATATCGCCAGGACAATTACAAATCTTGTGATGTATAGAAATAAAGAACTATGTACAATAAACTCTCACAACTTGGTATGGAGGAATTAATGCGATTATTACGAGCTGTGCGGTGCGACGCGGGGGAAATATTTAATTTACCTGTTGCTCCGCCATCTGAGGCACCCCGCCGGGCGTTAGAAAGTCGACAGGTGCGTTGGGGTCGGACACCGGCTGAGGTATGAAAAAGTTCAATTGCGGTACGGCAGACGGCAGATTGTCGATGGGTGGCAACGAACTAGGCCCACCGCTTTTACCACCAGGGTTAAATACGTCGACGTACGAGTTTTTCAAATCTGAAAAGCAAAATAGAGCGATACGGGACGTTTTTTTAATTCCAGGTTTATTATTTTAATCACTTTAGATCAAATAGTCTTCAATTGGGCTAAAAAACACTGATTTTCGAGATGTAAGGTGTTGAAATTTAAAAAAATATCGGTAAATATGTTCGACGTAAGTCAAATAAACTTATGCTAATGTGAATAAATTAACGGTAAAATTCTGAAAGAAATTTTTTGTTATCCAAGGAAAATCGAAGGAATAAGGCCACCAAAAAATGGAGCATTTCCATACCAATTTTTTTTTAAATTTGCATTTAAAACTATTTCGAACAAAAAATACCTATGTAACATTTTTTTTTTTTTTGTAAATATAATAACGGTTTGGAGATATTTTAAATTTATTCAACATTTAACGTTTCTTATAAATCACAAAAAATAATTCGAAAATACCACGTTTCTCTAATTTTGATTACACTCAAACATCGGAAAATATAGCAAAGATCGCGTAAGTAGATAAACTAACGGGAAGCGAAACCAGGCAGTTGTATGGATCGTTAAAAAATAATTTCTAAGATTACGGTCAAAATATCAAAAAAACTATGAAAAACTCACTTCTTCCCCTCTGAAGCTTGAACATATTCGGCTGATTCGACTTAACAGCATTCACGGCCTCCTCGGCGGAAGCGTTTGCCACAGGCGTCGAACCATTTCGAACCGCTCCACCGGGCAGCGAAAACGGCTGCTCTGCCACTTGACCTACATCATAGGCAGGAATATTATGTACGGGCGCTAGAGTACCATTCGGGTTGTACGTTGGGATAGTACCTGGCAGAGAACGATCAGATGGACCCGATTTAGGCATTAGATCGGCCATTTTCGGTGGAGGTTTGAACTCGGTTGCCGGATCGCTGGGATCCTCGTCAACGTTGGTCCACTTCTTCTTGTCTTGGTCCCACACAATCTAAAACCACAAACTACACGTAGAAAAAATTACCTCTAAAAGAAAGGATTACTGTACCTTCGGATTCTTATCGTCGGGCAGTTTCATCTGGTTCTTGGGCTTGAGCGCTAGCTTGCTGAATATCCCCCCGAACCAACCCGTGCTTTGCGTCTTGTCCTGGGCGGGACTCTGCGGTTTAGGCTTGACGGGACTCGGTTTCTTCTCGGATGGCTCTCGATTGGGTTCGTCGGGGTACGGGCTCGGTCCTTTCGACTGGTTCGGCATGGAAATTTGGGGTTGAGGCGTTTCCTGCGGAACAGTACAGAGCGACAATTTACTATATTATGTGGGTGTGCTGGTTAAATACACAATGCAAGGAAAACAAAGCAAAGGGAACAAACTTTGCCACAGCTGAAAGAAATAATAATGACAAACTAAAAAGAAATACTTGCGAGATGTTACATTTTTTCTCACAGCACATTTCGAACAGCAAAATAAATGTCATATGTACACTTTTTTAAGTTATTATGCAACAAATAAAAAAAATTAGTATCGTTGTGAAAGATTTACTTTAAAGTTGCCCCAAGCTCGATTATTGCATATTCACATTTAATATACCAGGGTTATCCAAAATAACTTGACAAACACTGATATTATTAACCATCCTTTATTGAAAATAAAAAATTACAAGCTGTAAATGCATAAAAATAAAGTATTATTCCATCTAACATCGTCTACAGTTATGTTTAACATTAATTCTACAACTATAACACAACAATTGCACATAAAATTGTTAACAATTCCATCAAGGTGTAACATTTAACAACAACATTAACAATTATTAGGCGATTGGTATAAAATAAACAATACAACCATCTCTTTATACTAGGTTTAAAACTGGGTTCTTACAAATGCATATATTTCATGGGCTAATAGATTAAGAAAAATAACTTTGTCGATTAAAGTTTAATGATTTTTAAAATTACGGAAATATGGTTAAAATTCATTATAGTCCAGTTATTATAGACATAAAACAGCTTGTTTCGGGAAAAAAAATACTATTAGAAGTTTCTCTGCGGAATATTGTTCAGAAACGTGTTATAAACAAAATATCAAAAAATCAACTCGAGGCTAGTTGGGAAACTTTGTTTAAACAATGGTCAAAGTTATGGAAAAGTGGTTTTTTGACTCGCGTAAAAAAACTATTATTCATAGCGAAAAAAAGAAATTTATACAAAAAAGGTAGGTATTAAATAAATCTGTAAAATAAGACAAGTCCGATTAAATTCCGATAATTTGTTTATGCGCGAGAGCTAAAAGATGGTCGAAATTGTCCGCTTTTTTCAATTGCTAATAATTAATACAATTTTCATCGCACACACTTGTAATTCAGGATTTTTGAGGGCTTTTACACCCTTAATAAGTGGTTCAGCCCGAAAGCTTCATTGGTTTGGCGTTGGCGGAATTTGTTATCTAAGAAGATGCTATTTTCAATTGATTTTTCCCAAGCTCTAAGGCGTTGTATAGTTTCGATCATTAGTTGTTTTTGTACCTAGATATTAACATATGCATTTACTGAGAATTTAATTTTTTAAATTTAATTTGTGTAAAAATGGCTGAAAAAATGTTAAAATTTATTAAATTGTTAAGAAAAGTAATTGTTATAAAATGAAATAGTAACCTCTATAGTTTAGTGAGTACTATTTTTCTTCGAATTTAAAAAAGTTGATTAGAAGCTGATAATTTTTTTTTTTTTATTTAATCTCAGTGACCTTAATTATTAAGAGCCGAAATTTGGAGAGAGCTATGGGGAAAATGAATTGAAAATAGCATCTTAGATAACAAATTCTGCCAACGCCAAACTAATGAAGCTTTCGGGCTGAAATTTTTACCACTTATTAAGGGTGTAAAAAGCCTCAAAAACCTTGAATTACAAGTGTCTGTGATGAAAATTGCATTAATTATTAGCAATTGAAAAAACGGCCATTTTCAACCATTTAATTTAATCGGACTTGTCTTATTTTACAGATTTATTTAATACCTACCTTTTTTGTATAAACCTTTTTTCTCTATGAATTACAATTTTTTTACGCGAGTCAAAAAACCACTTTTCCATAATTTTGACCATTGTTTTAACAAAGTTTCCCAACTAGTCTCGAGTTGATTTTTTGATATTTTGATTATAACACTTTTCTGAACAATATTCCGCAAAAAAACGTCTAATAGTATTTTTTTCCCGAAAAAAAGCTATAATGACTGGCCTATTAGTAAATTTTAATACATCTGTGATAAAAAAAAGTTGTCACAGTAGATTTATTGTCAGACACGTAAATAATATGAATAAAGATGTTAAAATTTGTCGATACGAAACGAAATCCGGATATTTAAAAAAAAATTGCAGTTCCCAAATTGTTTACATTGACACTATAATACAATTCCCAGTACGCTTTTTGTCTAAAAATAATCGTAAATAGAACACTAAATTTATTTTTTTATGACACAGCACCAAGACTTCTTTGGAAGCAAATATGGTAGACACGAGCAAATACGACGAACTAGGTGAAGAATAACTTTAGCAAAAGTTTTACATCCTGTATATTTTTTTCTCAATCACCAAAACCAATATGGGTTACAAATACTTTAATAAAAAAAATAAAATAATACTAAAAACAAAGAATATTTAATAAAAAATAAATACATAAATAATACTGCGAACAAGTAAATAAAAATATACTCAAATTTCTTCAAATTTTTTAGTTGTCTGATCTTACTTGAACATAATACTTCTTTATTTATATCAAAATAAATAATACTAGAAAACTATTACTCTTTTTACGGACTTTAAAGATTAAAAAAGTTTGAACAAATAAGAAAGGCAAACAGCTTTTGTTAATCTAGTAGGCCATGACGTAACAGTGATTGTATTTTGTTTCTACTTATTATCTAGCGTTAATTATATTGGTTGATCTATGTCGAAAGTTCTAGGGGGGCCATACTCTCTAATTTTGGGCGACTGACTCAAAATGCTACTTTGCGATCTACTCAATGTTTCCTGCTCGTTTTTGACAGGTTCAGATTTCTTAACGGTACTAGTTTCTAACACGGGGCAGTCTATGGGATAAGTGCCGCCGAATACGAGAGGCTTATAAACGACCTCCTTGTCGGGAGTGGTACTGTTTTTGAAAAGCGAATTTTTTATATTGGAAAAGACATTTCTGCCGCCTTTTTTGGCCCACGCGTCTACTGTATCCGTGATGATGTCGTGCCGGTGTTTTTTCCGATCGAATTTAGTCAGTCTGTAGGCGGAATCGAAATCTTCGGCCGATATAGACACCTTACTATTCGGTTCTAAGTATTTTACCACGGTTTTGGAAACATCCGGGATGTCTAAGGATTTGTACTTGACTAATTTCCCCCTTTTATCGTTATACTTCATGTCGAACGTGTTGTATCTGGTGTGTTTCGAATCGTTTTTTATCGTGATAACTTTGGTGTTGTCTTTGTAACAGATAAGCTGTGATTTCTCCTCGTTTTTGTACGACACGTTTTTCTGTCTACGTCTGCCTACGTAAGTCTCAAACTCCAAGTCGGAGCTCTCTCTCGAGGAGCTCTTCCTATCGAAACTATCCTGTTTCGAGTAATCAAAGTCCTCGGCGCTACTGTCTTTGTACGGATAAACCTTGTACTTTTTACTGAAAGACGAGGAACCCTTTTTGTCGTTATCACTATCGTGTCTCAGTTTTTGCAGTTCTATAGCGTCGCCATGCAACGGGGGGCTGTTAGAGCGAGCGGGGCTTTGTGCGTTTGTTACGCGTTTGCGCAAGGAAGAAGACGAGCTCGTCGGCAGAGAAAATGGAGAGAGGTTTGTGCGACATGTACTTACTTCTGGGGAGTCTTTTTGTACCTCCTTCGGCTGCGTCCGGACGGGGCACAAAAAACAAGCTAGTTAGATCACAGAAAACAAATCGGGCTACTCTACTTAAAGCGGTCAGTGCTACGAGATTTTAGGACGTTCTGTACGTTTGTTTGCAGTTAAAGTGTACAAGCTGACAGAAATGCTAAAGTAAAAAATTGTATAAAAGTTGAAGCAAATGTAAAAAAGCAAAAAGATAAAATATGAAGAATTTATAGAAAGATACATTTTTACTGATATTCTGCATTTAAAATGTCTACAAAGCTTACTGTATTAAAAAAATAAGTGATTTAATTTGTAAATCCAACATTTTGAACTGAAAACCAGCAGCAAATTGTTACACAGAGTATAACTTTAAGTGAGCGTGTTTCTTTAAACTGTAAAATCTTGTCTACGCCGTCACTGGGCAGTCCCGAACCCAGTTGTATGTGCGCACTTATCAATTGAAACTTTTTTAAACCAATTGTAGAAATCTAACGGAGTGATAGAGAGCGAAATTGCAATAGAAAATAATTTCATAAAAACAGTGCTTTTGCGTAGTTATTTTAAGGTCGCCATATTTTTTTAATGATTTATTAAATATTAACTAATATTACTAATTGTAAGTAAAACTAATGTGTTTTAAAATAATTATTTTTGCTGTTTTATCAACTGTGTTTAATAAAAAAATAAATAAAAATACTCACTTTTCTGATAGAATTGAAATATTTAAAATTTTTTTTTTAGTTTTTAAATAAAGGATTTATTACAATTTTTTAAAAGCACTGTTTCAATGATTCCTTACATTAACATAATTTAAGTAAATTATATATCAATCCACCTGATGAGATATGACAACAGGACACTAAATGGGTAAAATACAAGCACTAATTCAGAGAAACGGGAGTAGCAGTGGCGGGATATGAAAATTTACGAAGAAACGGGAAAACTTCAATTTTCACAACGTAATTTGGAAAAACAAATTTATGTATTTCTAAAGATCAAAGGCAGGTACAAAAATGCCCCCATTCAAACTTACACTCTGTATATTACTAAATAGCTTGTACCTTAACATGAAACACTGTACAGCCGCCTAAAATAGGTGCAAAAAAACTACGGCTTCTAATAAGTTCTAAGTAAAATTATATATAAAATTTTTTTAAATAGTCTGTTACAGTTTTGGTCCTATTTTCGACTTCAAATTTTATTGTCCACATGCAATAAACTTGCGATATTTACCGAGATGTGAATACAGGGTGTTAAAAGTTTGACTGCCTTAATTTTAACAGAATACATTAAAATAAATAAACATCCGAGAAAATATTATCAATATCTCCAACTTGGCGTACAAAAGTTCAATTAAGGAATATTGACATAACTGCGTGCACAGAATACTATAAAATACAATGTTTGTCTCTTTTTTGAAGTTCTTTATGCTTAATTCTAAAACATAATTAGCGTAAAATTCAATAAAATTTATATCGAGCAATGTGACAACGACACGGCGGTTTATTAACACGAGGTACTGAAGTGTTCAGCAACCACCAATATGCAATTCAGTTGGTATCTGGATTCGACCATGTCGGAGTGTTTTTTGCGTACTACTATTTCCTTTTCTTGAGATGTGTTTCAGCGAGTGTGCGAAAATTGGATTCGAAGGTGTCGTGCGTGCATCGAAAATGACTGATTTTTGCGTTTTGGTACGTCCCTAAATTATTTTTAATATGTATAATTATTTGGATTACGTGAATCTTTGAGTACTTCAATTACAAATTTTTCAAATACGTAATTTGATTAAAAGTTAAGTTAAATTTACTTTTTTTCCACAATAATAGCCGTTTACATTTTTGCCGTAGGACAAATCTGCCGCGTGTACACGTGGTGTGCATCAACAGGTTACGTGCTACTGTCACGTTGTGATGAAACTCCCCAATATTAATACTCACTGTATTCTGAAAACTGTTAATCTTACACCCCTGTAATATACAACTTTTTTGTTCTCTCTATCTATGGCAGTCAAACTTCTTACACCCTGTGTAATAAATTATATACTGTAACTCTCGGTGATTCTCAAAATATTCACATGGGTAATTGAAACATGTAAAGTGGAATTCATACAGTTGAGAATAGCGATATCAGAATAATACTTTGCAATTTGCGACTATATTCCCTGACTACCACATAATTTTCTGCTACAAGGTTTTTACATGTTAACACATGGAATATATCACTAGGTTCAGTCATTTTTATACAAAATATAATGAAACAGAACTCATAAACGACTTTTGAAATGATTTCACTATGGTCTTTATTCTAGTCCTTAACTAAGAAGTTATAACAGCACTATATTTTTTTCTCAGAAGATTCAACAATTAATTTGCTTAAAATTCATTAAAATTTATTAAAAAAATGTATATAATTTTCATAAAATGTTCAATATAGGTTAAATAGTTGTGAAACGGAAGCACGCAACAAACTATTATGCCTTAGTTCCGTGTGCATACCTAGTAGTTCAAATGTCCCATAACAATTTATGTTGTACGAAAAATTTTAAAAGCCCAAGCAGTTCTTCCCACAGAATAAAACATACAATAACTCAAAAATTACCATGTTTGGTGCCAAAATTTTATATTACATAGGTTTTTAAAGTTTTTATGGGTCAATATAGACTTTTAGTGAATAGATGATTAAATTATTCATAACGATTTTTATAATTATTCCGAAACCTCAAGTTACAAGTTACAGGCACCAATATATATAAAAATCGACAAATGATTTGCAAATTTAAAAATACTGCAACATTTCTAACCGTTTTTCGCTACTACACCAAACAAAATCCTGAGAAGCCCAAGAAAAGCACAGCATTTAATTCTACTGTGATTATCGTTCCCTACAACGTCCAGTACACACATTAGAAAAAAAAATAGCGGTACTATGTGCTACTTATACATAAACATACTGCGGGAAGTACGGAAACATTAAAAAAAATTACCCTGGAATGATATGAAACAAACAACTCTGTCCCGTGTTCTAAATTCAAAAGCGGTCTATTGACGGACACGTTAACACACAAATCGCTACACCATACCCACACTAAAAATTTAAACCTCCTACCTCGACTTGAGCATTAGATCCGTAGTAATTTTGTTGCTGATCGACGCTTTCCTGTTGGAATTGGTTGAGCTGTTCGCCCCACTGCTGCTGCTGCTGTTGCTGCTGTTGGTTCGACCAGTAGTTCTGCTGTTCTTGGTATTGTGCTGCCCAAAACAAATAAACGATTATTATTAAATCAATCGTTTTGAATATTTGATGAAGGTGTAAGGACCTTCCTGTCAATAATTCAGCATGAAACGAATTAGGGAATGAACTGTTGTCAAATTGCCTATTTCGATAACGGCCGAGGAAACAAGTCAATATATTGATTCGGTTGTTAATGTTAAGTAATAAATATTTGACGTGAAAAAAAAAAAAATTGTTATGGAATCAATTTAAGGTTTCCTATGACGAGTTCAGTTTTCGGGACTAAATCTCGCGATTCTGAGATCAAGGATTTTAAACCCCGGAACTCAGGAAGAAAATATCTTTCGTTAAAAAACCGTTTTTTAAACTCATTTATCAATTATACAGGGTTATTCAGAATTTATCCAAAACAAATTCTGGATGTACAGGGGTCTCTTATGAATACAATTTTGTATAGAAAAAATCAAAAAGGGCAGTTCGAAAATGATTTAAAAATACACTTCTGCACGACACTGGAAACTGGTCCACTGTAAAACCTGACCTGGCACAATTTGACCAACATGGCGGTGTGATAAAAACGGACAAAAATCGCAAGGAAAGAAATAAATAGAACACAAATGCTTCACCATAATACAAATGTTGTCTTGCTTCACCATAAATTAAAACGATATCCATCAACTCCGAGTTGCTATACAAGTTAACCAGTTTTGACTATTAAAAAACTATTGTAAACACCACAGATAACAGGTAAACACTATCGCAACGACGATTGCAAAATCGAATTTCAGTATTTGGAGTCGCTTTGGCCACGTGGCTCTCCACGCGTATTGTGTATGACGCTAGAGACTACAGTTGTCCAGCTATATAGTGGTTGAATGTACTATAACTTCAATAATTTTTTTCTCGGAATCTATAAGGATTTTACAAATTTTTTTTTTTACGATATTGACTCCATTTCTCACGCCGCATCTATTCCCAAATTTTTTTGGATAAGTTGTGAATTACCCTGTACAGATCTAAGAGACGTCTATCGGCATCCTGACATAACCATTTTACAAATGAAAGGATGTAACTCAGAGCTGCATCTAGCGTCCAATGCTGCCAACTGCCTCAGACCTACAAGTAGGCGAAAAAATGGCAGAAAGCGACCTGTATTGCAGGTACTATGACCAGTGTCGCCCAAAAGTTTTAAGTGATGTTATTATGATAATAAATCAAAATGTACCAAGCTATAGCTTCCACTTGGTTCAACAATTGAACAATTTTATTTCTAGTTTATTAAAAATATTTCGGAATTAATCACGGGAAAGCCACTAAATGTCTGGCATTTTGGAGTTTAAATTGCTGAAGCCCTCGATTCGACCCCTAATTTTGAACCATTATACGTAGAGTTGAAAATTTTTCACAAAATACAGGACGTAGGAATGGGGGTCATATTTATACGGAGGTTTCCTTTAACCTTTAGAAACACGCATCGATAGTTTATTTTTTCAAATTCTGTTGTAACATTAATTTTTTTAAACTTTTTTTAATATTTTTTGTATCCCGCCGCTGGGCAGGCTAGGTACCCTCAAATAACGGAGGATACTTTTGTCGAGTGGGTGTTCACTACAGAAACAGTACTTAGCAAAAAAATTCAAGCAGTAATCAATAAAAATAAATGAAATACACAGAAATAAATGTCTGATAATGCTTCCAGTGATGAAAAACATTCAAATTCACAGTTAAATGTACTGTTTTTTGTCTCAAAATGCGGAACAACTGACTCCCTTCGCTTTGTCACTGTTGACCCACACTATCTCCCTCCACACGCACTGAAAGTTGCCTACAATTCATGTATTTGTAATACAGTGGTGGCGTACAGAAGTATTAAAGTGCATTTAAAAAAAAAACTAATAATAACTGGACCATTATTGATTAAAAAAACAATTTCCGATTCGTATTCAGGGGAATTGTATACAGGGTGTCTGGTAAATACCTCCTAATCTCTCGGGAGTGTATAGGGGAGGTCGAAATAAAACTAGTCCTTCCTATAATTTTTTTTCCTAATGTGCCCCCTAACGGAGTTATGGGGAGTCAAAGGTTACCTAGAAATTAACGTTTAGGGTTATAACTTTGAAACCACCCTGTATATTTTAATAAAATTTTCGTACGTTGTATTACACATGGAGCTCTACGATTTGATGCTAAAATCAACTTTTTGCTATTATCAGGTGTCCAGAAACGGACTGGCCCTATCACAATTTTTCTCAAAATTTTGACAGAAGTAATTTTATCAAACTGAAAATATTATTATTAGATACTCTGAAGGTTTTTCTTTAAAAATGGTACTCTTTATTTATTTCGAAAAAATGAACGGTTTGCGAGATAAATCGGTTTTGAAAAAAATTGGTAACAAATACAACAACAATTAAAATTTATTTTTTTACAATAAAATCATTCCCGCTAGTGCCAGCCTACAGATTCACCATAAACATTTACTGGTGGTGAATTAAGGGAATGAATAATGCCGTTTCTTGTAAAATCAACATCTATGACCAAAATACATCTACAAATTATTATTGCTCTTGTCTCCATGGAGTTCTTTTCTATTGTTTTCGTTGTTAGACCCTGTTGATTTTAAAGTACTTGTCAAAGGCGCGTGACAGAATAAAAATTCAATTTTATTGTGGTATTCGTTTTAAGCCGTTAGAAATAACATTTAAAAATGGAAGAATATTCCTGTGCAGAATATGCTGATATGCACCTAATTTATGGGGAAGCATTATGCAACTCCGTGGAGGCAAGAAGACTTTATGAGGAAAGGTTTCCGGGTCGACATTTGCCGAGTCCAAAAACTTTTGAAAGAGTTGATCGTAGTTTAAGAGAAACAGGTAAAAAAAAATAGTGAAAAACGTTAGTGAAACTAATTTCTTCCGAATCCTTTATTTAGGAAGCTTTTTGCCACGCCGTGGTGGAGCAGGAGCCCCGAGGAGAGTACGAGACCCTCATGTAGAGGAACAAATATTGGAAGACGTTGCTAATAATCCTTCAAATAGCATAAGGAAGCTTGCGGCGCAAAACAATGTTACAAAATGGGCTGTACATGAAACTCTGAAAGAACAATTGCTTTACCCGTACCACATCCAAAAAGTACATGCTATGTCTCCAGATGATTATCCAAAAAGACTTCAATACGCCAATTGGTTTTTACAGCATCATATTCGGAATCATAATTTTGGTACATCTATTTTGTTCACCGATGAAGCAGGTTTTACAAGAGACGGCATAATTAATTCGCATAATCTACATGTCTGGGATGAAGAAAACCCTCACGCTTTAGTTCAAACTCGCTACCAACAAAGGTTTATGGTGAATGTGTGGGCTGGCATTATCGGGAATCATTTGATTGGTCCATTTATTCTGGAGCAAAGACTTAATGGTGCTCTTTATTTGCAATTTTTAGAGGAAAATCTAAATATTTTGTTAGAAGAAGTGCCCCTTCAAATAAGAACTGAAATGTGGTACATGCATGACGGTGCACCACCCCACTTTGATCGTTTAGTACGTCAACATCTGACGAATGTTTTTGGTGATCGATGGATAGGTCGAGGCGGACCTGTATTATGGCCACCTAGGTCGCCCGACCTAAACCCATTAGACTTTTTTCTGTGGGGTCATTTAAAAAATAACGTTTATTCAACACCCGTAAATAGTAGAGAGGAACTTCTGCTGAGGCTAACACAGAACTGTGACCATCTCCGCAATAATCACGGAATATTATTTCAAGTGCACCGGGAAAACATTCGTAGGATTAGAAAGTGCATTGAAGTACGGGGTGCTCATTTTGAACATCTACCGAAGTAACATTTAGGTACCTTTGTTCATTGTTGAATGTTCTTTGTTGCATGTCTTGTAAGTAAGTTATTTTTCAAATGTTATTTTTAATTGGTCACTACTTGCTCATAAAGTATAGCCAACCCGTTCAAAGATTTCTGGACTTGATAAAGTTAAAGAAATTAAATGCATGAAATAATATGTAAAAAAAATAAATTTTAATTGTTGTTGTATTTGTTACCAATTTTTTTCAAAACCGATTTATCTCGCAAACCGTTCATTTTTTCGAAATAAATAAAGAGTACCATTTTTAAAGAAAAACCTTCAGAGTATCTAATAATAATATTTTCAGTTTGATAAAATTACTTCTGTCAAAATTTTGAGAAAAATTGTGATAGGGCCAGTCCGTTTCTGGACACCTGATAATAGCAAAAAGTTGATTTTAGCATCAAATCGTAGAGCTCCATGTGTAATACAACGTACGAAAATTTTATTAAAATATACAGGGTGGTTTCAAAGTTATAACCCTAAACGTTAATTTCTAGGTACCCCTTTGACCCCCATAACTCCGTTAGGGGGCACATTAGGAAAAAAAATTATAGGAAGGACTGATTTTATTTTGACCTCCCCTATACACTCCCGAGAGATTAGGAGGTACTTACCGGACACCCTGTATTTGACGGATATTTCAAAAACTCACCGTTTTGCTGTAGGGCCTCTTGTTGCTGGTACTCGACTTGAGCCAGCTGTTGCTCCGGCTGCCACTGCTGCTGCTGTACCACACTTTGTTGGTACTGCTGATCGTACTGCTGTTGCCATGTTTCCTGGCCGTTGGGTTCATAGGTCTGCTGGATCAGGTCCGTTTCTAAAGGCGAAGCCGTGTAACTAACAGCGTTAACGACTTCATGCGTTATCAACCCCGACTGAAAGAAAAATTACGTTTAACAACTTTGAATCGAAATTTACGGTACGCAGTACCTGATAATCACTTTGTACCGCCCTGAGGTCTTTGAGCCAGGAGTTGTCGGGCCGACTGGTTTCGAGGATGCCGCCAAATTCAGATTCGTCTTCCATCTCCCCGACGGGATCGTAGAACTTCAGCCTGTCCGCCAGGGAGCACACTTTGCCTATGAAACTGGGTTGAACCGACGCCGGGTTATTAACTACGTAAGCGGATATCTTCTCTAGATATTGCAAGGATTTCTCTAACAGGCCGTAATCCGCCAGTCTGGTGGCTAACAAGTATTTATAAATCTGAAAACAAACGTTAAAAATTACATTGTATAGTTTTTGTTTATCACGTTTTATTACTCATTACCTGGAATTCGGGTATAATAAAATCAGGGATGTTCAATCCGCAGGCATACTCATAAATTTCAGTCATATGCACCGCCTCGTTCGACACGAACGACGGGAAACCCCTGCTGTGATCGGCGCCGAGCAACGCCAATCTCGTTTCGGGATCGTCGAACTTGCCGAACCCAACCTCAGCCATCAGGTAACAAAATTGCGCAGCGTACAAACTCCCCCTGTTCTTCAAAGTGTCCCCGAGTGTCGTTATGGCCTTACAGTTCAGCTCGGGGCGTTGCGTTGAATTCGACAGGATCATCGCTAGGTGCGGTCTCCAGTCGCCCCATTTCTCGTCGGATACGCACTAAAAATATAACGGATTAGCAATTTTTTTTTTGTACGATAATATTCCAGTTACCGTCACAGCAGCGGGCATTTTCCCGGATAATAACTGATACAGCGTCTGCAGGGGGTCGTTTAGAGTTAATCCGTTAGCGAAACGCATCATAACGTTGGCGTAAGTCCTTTTGTCTAATTTGCTAGCTAAGAATAGTGCATGGCCCCAGAGTCCATGACGCATCGCCCATTCTAAAAGAAAAAACAAGTGAGTAACAGTGTAGATTCGTTCACGCCATATTTACCCAGGGCCTCTTTTCCGGAACCGTACAATAAAAATTCCCTAAACTTATTAGTAACCTCTTCCTCTTTGAGAACAGACAACGTACTACCGTTATTTTCAGACTGGTAATTGCTGGCCTCAGAAGTGGGATTCACGTCTCCAGGAGAACTACTTAAATTAGAAATTACCGACGATGGCCTTGGAGGAACGTCCGGCTTATTTTTTAATAAAAGTTCGGCTATATCCGTCCCGACAACCATCTAAGAAAGAGCACAGTCATATTTTATCAATTCGTACCACGTAAACTTACCCCGTTTTGCCTAATGAGCAAAATTAACAGCTCCCACATCAAAACGTACGACTCGGTATCCCCCACTTGACTAAAATTAGCGTCCCTAATTTTATTCTCGCAGTATTCAATAATGGTTTTCTTGTGAGTCACTCCTTTGACCAAAGGCCCCGGGAATTGGCTCAGCTCCTTGTACTCTTCATCGTTAACGAGGAGCGATTGTAGATTGCAAACTTCCACTACGGCGTTCTGCCCATCCATAGGGTAGTGCGGCATAATCCGTAGGAGCTTTCCAGAAGCGATGGACGCTTTTATGTGGGCCGTCGCAAACTTGGCGGGCGTTAGACGCTGCGCGACGAGGCTGTTGTCCTCGAAATTCACCGAGGAATCTGTATGGTCGAAAGGCCTGGCAAAACTGAAACATGCCTTGCTTAACTAAGTTAAATTTTCAAGATGTATATTAGGAAATTCACCGCTATATTTACAATTTTTTTTTTGTATCATATTTTGGTGTGTTAGTTGGGAGACTAAAAAATATTAAACTTGGAACGATTTAAAGGAAAAAATATTTGTAATTTGTTGCAGGTCTCAAAAAGGATCTTACTTGGTTAACTTTAAGAGCTAATTTTAAAACATTTACAAATATCTCCATATGTGGAAAAAGTTCTAGAAAAATAACGAATAAAACTTGACATATGAAGATCACATTATAAATGGTTTGCTATAGAAGAGTAATTATATATTTTGACGGGATTAGAAAAATAAAGCGACTTTTTAGTCACATCGGGATCATGCAATAAGCAAGCAAATATGCAGCAAGCCTATGATGATTCATCTACTGTTACCATCTCTTTTTAACGTGAACCATCTTACTCTTGTATCTTCATAATCGTAAACAACGCATAGGAATTAATTACGCAACATCCGTACGATAACAAAGGCAACAGTATACTAACGTGACGTGAACATGAAAAGCATTCTCACACAACGGTTCACACATGTCTCGGTTGACCCGCTTGGCACGCCATTAAATTGCGGCTCTCTCTGACAGCCTTACTGATCATTTGTAACATTTAAAAAAAAAACACACCTCTGCCAAAGGATGAATACGTAACATTAAAAGGTCATTCGACCTTTCATTAGATTCATTTTTAAAATGGACTAGAGACAGTTACGATTATGAAAAATATGTCATATCGTTAGACAGATTTAAGACCGGTAGGTAAAATGTACAGGTAGTTAAAAAGAAATGGCATTAAGACTGCTATTTACATATTAAAGGTACTAGCCCCTTTTTTCAAAATATTTACATAAAAGTCCGGTTAGGTTCACTATTAAATGTAAATTCTGGAAATGTTACGATTCTTAACAACTTTTTATTCTGACGTTTTTCAAAATTTAATTTTTTTCGAATTTTTCATTTTACGAGGTGTTTTCACAAAGCCATTTTTCCGCCTGTTTTTTAAGACTTTGACAGAGGCGACAAGGAAAATCCTAAAAATATTCTAAAAAATCCAAAAACTTGTCATGAAAAATGAAATTCAGTTTTTCGAAAATTTTTGAAAATAACGGGGTTGAAAAGAAAAAAAAGTAAACAAATTAAAAATCATCAACAGTTGTAAAACCCCAAATATTTCTGTTATCAAAATAATATTGTGAATGTGACGTAAAAACATCTAATTTCGTATTTGATACGGTCTTGTCCGGACTGAAAATCAACCCTTAATATCCCAAAAGGGATGAAGTCATCCCGTAAACGCCTAAAAATGCAAAAAATATATTAAAAGTTACAATTTTTTTTCTTTTTCTTTTATACGTATATGGTTGAACTTAGGGATGGTTTTACCCTCATTTAGGGGTATTTTCCTTCGGATCTAGTGATTGTGGGTTATTAACGGTTCAATTATCACGTATAAAAAAAAAAAAAAAATTGTAACTTTTAATATATTTTTTGCATTTTTAGGCGATAAGGAGATGATTTCACCCCTTTAGGGATATTAAGGGTTGATTTTCAATCCGGACAAGATCATATCAAATACGAAATTAGATATTTTCACATTCATATTATTTTGATAACAACATAGAAATATTTGGGGTTTTACAACTGTTGATGATTCTGAATGTGTAGCCGATCCTTTAATTTATGGCACCATTTTCCAAAACACCCCGTATAAAAAACAGTCTAAATTTGCCTACCATTTATTATTAAATTAAAAATGTCGTGTTTTTTACTGACAAAATTTATTCAATCAAATTTTTTTGCAAAAAATTCTGGTGTTTTAAAATAATTCACTTCCCTGAAGAACAGAGATAATCATACTTATTTTCGTTTTCATTAAATTTCTGAAAATCTTTCAAATGTTTTACTTTTTTACATATTTTTTATAAAATAATTTAGCAGCTAACGAATTACATTTGAAAAATCCCGTCCCGATTTCAAATTACGAAAAGTTTTCTCGTAGAACCTACGTCAGAACAACAAGCCGTCAGACAAGTCCGTTTCTAGCAAGGAAAGAGATTACATAGACGTAATATTGTAAGGGGCTCACCTAGAACTATCGAGGCCGTATTGGCCCGATACACTATGCGTACGTGTATCTCCGTAGTAACCGCCCAAGTGGGATACGCTCGCCTGGCTATAAAAACTCTGCCGTGTATACCTAAACAAGTGAATAAAGCACACCTAAATGAAAAGAGCTGCAGTCGTGTCTCGGCGCTGTGTCGTTTGTGAGGTGTTAGATGGGGGAGGGGGGACAGTTAACGAAACTAACAGAGGGTAGAGAAGAGATGTTAGCAGAATTGCGGTGTCGTGGAAAAAATGTGTAGATGTATTTTACATATAAACAATATTTGTAGCGAGATATGTGGAAAATGTATTTCGGAATATTGCGTTTATTTTGTTACTATTTTAAAATTGATAAGTTTGATTTGTTACCACCGATATACTCTCCAGATCTTAGTCCAACTGAATTTACAAGTTCAAAAAAAAATTAATTCTCACAACAGAATTTACGATTTTGATACAAATTTCCACATACCAGCATTTTTAACACAAAAAATTAGCCACACGTCCAAAAAAAATCCAAACAAACCCTCAACGGAATACCTTGGAACAGACTTACCTATCTTTAGCTAACTCATCGTTTGCGGAACTCCTCCCCGAATGCACCGAAGCTCTATCCTCGGCCCCTCCGTACGAGGAAGCTTGGCCCGTGGCCTGTTGATAGTATTTCCGATACCATTCCGCGTACGCCTGCGGGTTTGTCCTCCGGAGATTCTCGTAGTACTGGTACTGCTGGTAGTAGGGATTGTAAGGATCATAAGCGAAACCCTACAATATACCAAAAACAATGTTGTAACTAGAAAATATTTAACAAAGAAGTTCAAGAAGACAATGTTTTAATTGTCAGTGTTGCGAGAAACAACTACTTCAAGGGCTATATGCCCCTACCGGCATTGAATTATGAATTATTGTTGTCTTCGTCCTCTGTGGATGGCAGTCATGCAACAAGTACCTGCAATATAGCAGGTCGCCTCCTACTGTAGCCATTTGAATAGCTCAATTTGGAGTCAGCACGACAGATGGAGCCATTTGGGCTCCCGCGTACAATGTATTTCCTTGTCGTGACGATACGACGCAAAACAGCTGGTTCGTTCGTCGGTTGTCTCACCTATGACACACTGATAAGGACCAATAAGTCCGTAACCGGTCTGTGCCTGGTGGGTTAAACTGATGAACGATCCTAGCTATCGCACTAGGTGTTACGAGTATAATTCAATGCCGGTAGGGGCATATAGCCCTCGGAGTAGTTGTTTCTCGCAACACTGACAATTAAAAAAAAAAGTTCTGAACCAACAACTTAAAAGTGATGTACCTCAGGGATGCTTATATGGCCTCAAATACATTATGTAGCAGGTAAATGATAATTTCTTACAATAGTGAGCTATGAAATAACTGTTTTAGTAAATGACACACTTACTTGATAAGGATTGTACATGTCCCTTGGATCCCTGTGCCGTCTATAACGATCTCTCTCCCTATCACGGTGACGCCTATCCTTCTCGGGATCCCTTCCTCTGTAAGACTCGTGCATGGAATCCGACCGACTGGACGGTCTAGACCTGTTGTCAGGTTCGTAATCGTCATCGTATCTGTTCCTATAATAATAATCTTCCCTCCTATCCCTACCATATTCCCTCGGATCTCTCCTCCGTCTATCCTTGTCCTTGTCCTTACGCAAACTACTGTATTTCCTGTCGTATTCTCTCTCCCTATCGTCTCTCACTCGTCTGTCTTTCTCTTTGTCGCTGAAGTAATCGGTGTCCTCCTCGTATCTTCGATCCTTGTACCTACGCCTGTCATACTTTTTGTCTCTATAACTGTCTGGGCTGTAACGATACTTTTCCCTTTCTCTATCTTTGTCCCGTTTAATTTTCTCCGCAGATCTCTTTTCACGGGAGTTTCTCGATAACTTTTTGACGTCCTTGTCGCTATCGCTGCTCTCTTGCCGGCTTAGCCGCCTAGTGGAGGGCTCAGGCAAGCTAGTATTCGAAGTGTGTCCGTCGGTGAGGTTCTCGCCTACGGTTAAGTTCCGCACGGAGTTTGTCAGTTTGGAAACTTCGCTCTCTTGCGTCTCCCCTTCTATCGAATCTCTCCTGCTCTTCTGGTCGATGCTCTCCTTTTTATCTGGTTTGCTCTTCCTGGTTTTATCACTTTTATTGTTGGAAGCGGCGCTGGTACTACTTGTGCGTCCGCCGTCTTGGTTAGAGGCGGTACTGTCGCCACCTCCTATAGTTTCAGATCGATTAGCACCAAGCGTAGCGGGTTGTATGTTTGGCGAATTAGACACGGCGGGTGGAGTGTCCGCGCCGATAGTGGCAGATCTACGTTGAGGAACGTGTTGGGAGAGTTGATCGAGTTCGGATTCCGAGTCGTTCTCGTCTCGTCTCTGTTGGGGGATGCGAAGGGTGGATTCTGGGGAGCTCGATTCTCCCGGGACCATCCGGCGGAGGCCTTCTGGTGGACCAGTGGCTTCGTATTGTAGTCTAAAATGGTGTTACAAAATTTAAAACAGGGTATAAGTAGTCTATGTTCAATATCTAATAGAATAAAGTGAAATAAACACATATTTTGCGTCGTACCTGATCTCCTCGTCGATTGGAAGCGAATTCAGCTGTGGATTGGACACAGTGCCAGTCTGACCCAATACCATCCGACTCAATCCTGGAGGCGGCTCGTCTCCGAAATTACCCGCACTGCTCGAACTCTCATTCTGTTCCATTTGTCCGGGCACCATCCTTCTCAAACCAGGCGGTGGCAACGTATCGTTTGCTTCCTGTTTAATATTTGCGTCACCTTGACTATAATCTTGAGAATTCGCTCCCGACAGTTGTCCCGTCTCCAAATACTGATTCCTATCGTTGATTGGAGCCTCGTTATTGTCCGGCCACGGAGCTATGGGCTTAGATTTTTGCACCGGCTGGCTTGGAACGGGATCGGGTTGTTCTGAATTATCGGGTAGCGTTTCCAAGTTAACTTGTTGGCTGTGGAAATTGGGCTGGTACAAATTTTGCCGGCTTTCGGGTGGCGTAGTGTTTGATGCTCTGAATTTGTTCGCCACTTTGTGAGATAAACCGGTGGATCGCTTATAAGGGTTCTTACCGTCATCTGCAGGACCACCTGGAGGCAACAGCGGAGGAGTTTGAGTATTTTTGGGGGGTGGAGGGGTAGGATTTGCTTTGGGAGGTCGGTTTTCTTGTACCTCTGCCTTGATATTAGGAACGATCTCTTTGTTTTCAAACTGGTGATTTGAAGCTAAGTCCTCGTAGTAAGCGTTGTTCTGACTAGGCACATCGTCTAGGTTCTGGGACTGCTCTTGACCCGAAAGCGGCGAATGGCTAATCGTGGAACTTCTCGACATGATGTGACTCTTGTCGCTTTCCGATGTGTGTAGAATGTCGTCGGATGATTCTTGGGACATTTGGGATTCGGTGGACCACTGAGGGGTTTCTAATTTGCCACGTTTACCACTTACTTTCAGTAAATCTTGAGGGGGTATTGGTTTTATCGATTCGGAGTCATTTTCCACTTTTGCGGGGCGGTTGGAATTCTTTTCCATTTTAGGGAATGGCGTATCAACGTCAGTCGGTTCTTCCTTTATGGGGATATTTTGTACTGGGTTAGCTATCGGCTTTGTATCGTCTACGCCCCAGTTCCAAGATTCGTCCTTTGCAAAAGCGTCACCTACAGATACATAGTTTTATGGGAAATGTATAAAAATTTTACTAGTTTTGTAGGAAACAATGGCGGAGCTTCAGATCTTCATACGTTTTTGTAAAAATCCTCATTGTGAACTCCAGAGTTTCATTTTTTAATTTGCTTATGGGGATTGAATGGTTTTTTCCAGAAAAATTTGCAATATTAACGATTACATGTTAAAGCACAAGTGACAAGTTTGACATATCCAAATTGTGAAATGTGAATATTCTGATAGACTAAAATCAAGTAAAAAAGTTTACTTGTCTTATAAAGTAACTAATCAGAACAGTATTTGCAAATTCAAGTATATGAATTTTGCATAAAGTTGTTTTGAGGTGGTAGGGTATAATTTTACAAAAAACCGAACAACTAAATCAAACCAATCTAACCTAACCTAAGCCGTTTCAACCATTTTTCGTCGAGGAAGAGAAGTATCTGCATTTTAATTGTCCAGTTAATTGGAAAATAGTACCAAATTACCGCAGAATGTTAAATTATTAGGATTTGAATTGGTGCTGTCTAAAAAATTAAATTGGAATTACATATTCAGAAAATAGGTTAGGTTATGATGGATTATGTTGATTTATATTTTGTGAATTTTTCATAAAACAGTATTCAATCACCTCAAAGTAAATTTCGATATCTGCCTGAGAGGTAAAGAATGATCAAGATTTGAAACTGTACCTTTCTTCCATTAATTACCAAAATTTTTCATAAAACATATCTATAAGAAAATATAGTGTTTAATTACGAATGGGCCATACTGTAATGGGAGGTTCCTTGAGTCAAAATAGGCCAATTTAACTCAACAGGGGGTAAAAAGATTTAGTTCAAATATCCACGTGTCATAAAATATTGAGGAAAAACAATTTCTTCTGCATTAAGGTTAGTTGAGTCAAATTGGCCTATTCAGTACAAAACATCCTGTATTTACAGCGATTCAAATTAAAAATCCACATTCCTTACAATAAATTAGATAAAACCACAATTACGATACGATATATGAGATCAAATGTACATTTTAGAAGAAGAGACCAAAAAAAATAAATAAGTAAAACAAGTAATGAGCATCAGCTTCTTGTGCTTGCGGTAATTACACAAATACTAACCTATATTATTTCCTGCTTGATTAACATTATTCGTGGGAGGCTGCTGGGACATCAGTTGCACGTTGGAATTGTCCTCATCGCCCCACCCCCAATTCCAAGCATCCCCTTCGTTCTGCTGGCCTCCTTGCTGGGGGGTATTCGTGTTCGGGTACAGATTATTTTGGTTATATTGTTGATTGTATTGCTGGTTCCCGTAGGCCTGTTGATTGTAACCAGTGTTCGTCTGGTAATAACCGGATTGGTTCTGATACTGCTGGGTATACTGTTGTTGTTGTTGTGGGGGCTGTTGTTGGGCGTTTTGGTTGTAACCGCCATGGGGGGTGGTGTAGGACTGTTGCCAGTACTGCTGCAGCTGTGTCTGCGGTTCTTGTTGCGTGACGGGCTGATGCTGCTGTTGGGAATGACTGTACCAGTTATCGTGCAATTGTTGGTTTTGCCACTGAGTCTGCGGGTAGGAAAAAGCGGCGAAAAGAATTTTGTTTAGACAGGGGAAATCGTTAGGATAAATTTATTAAGAAAAAATGTCTAACAAATTTATTAAAATTTATATTCAAAATCTTTAACAACTTGTTTTCTTGGTTCTTTATACAGTATGTTCAGAAACAAAAACCTATTTAGATAGAATTCCTTGAATAAAGTTTCCCTTTGCTAATGTAATAAAAAAAAGGTTTTCGGGTGCAGTTAAATGCAAATTTATATTTTACTAAAACAGAGGTTGACTTAAAGAACCTTTTATTTTTTGTAATATATTTTTTGGTAAGTACCTTGAGGAAAGGCAGGTATTTCTTTAAACGCCACTTAATTTACAATAAAATAGATTATAACTGTTGTATGTGAGAGAAAATGGATTTCAGCGTCAATTTTCTACTGCAGTTATCAGCTACTGACAGCCAAGTATTCTGGTCTAATTAAACTTAATTTTAATAACTTTGTAACTACAGTAGAGTCGCGATAACGTGAACACGAAAAATCTGACCTTATTCAAACTATCGAGGGTGTTTACACTAATGAAGGTATAAAAAACTTACACAGGATTTAGTCAATTTATTTCTTCTTAAACATTATAAAAATCTAAAACGATATTTTTCTTAAATATGTACAAGAAACAAACAGTTTGAATAAAATTATTTTTATTTACTGAACTTTTTTTTAGCTAGATTTGCCACAGTTGCCTTTTCCTGAAGAGTTTTTAGTTTTATAATGTCACTTGTAAAGTATGTTTTCCATTTTGGGGAATTCTGCAGATTTTAGTGTATGCTGTCTTGTTGATTTTTCTGCTCATTTCATTTCACGGTAGATACTTTTATATACCTATAAACACTAGTAACAGACAAGTGTAGACACAGATTTTAACAATGCGTCTTGGAATAATGCATAAAGTGTACTGAACATTGCATCATCCACGCATATTCACATAATCGATGGTTTAGGTTGTACATGTTATAAGGTGGTCAATGTTCAGATTACTGAGTGTTCACGTTATCACGACTCTACTGTACTTCAATTTTTTTTTGCGATTTAGGCGATTTTTTAAAAGTTGTTAACATTTTTAAGGAAGTAAAAGGTAAAGTAATTTGATTCGATTTTCTACGGTAGTTTCATTTATGGACACCCTCTATAGAACTAATAGTTATTTATTGTATACATGTTTCAAGTAGCATATTATCCATGATTAAAAGGGAGAACATAGTTCGAGCGTTTAATATTCTTAAGTGGATAAAAATGTTAATAAGTAAATAAATTAAATTTGATTATAGGTTTATTATTTTTTCATTATTCTACTAGTGAAATAAAGTTACTTTATTCCATTAGCGGATAAAGTATCACTTTAGAAGGTTCATATGTGTGGATAAAAGTGCAATTATAAGGTGACTGGATAAAGTATTTTTTCCCATTTCGCTTTGGAGTTAAATTTATCTAGTGCCTATATGTCAATGTCTGTTGAGATCAAGTTAATGTCATGAAATGGAAAAAATTTGCAGTAAAATTGTTTGATTCACCCAACCTAAAACCTAGAATGACTTGTCCGGTAAAATGAATATGATTCAATAAGGTCCAAAAATGATTTTGAACAATTAATAATCAATCCCACAAAACATAACCTCAGTTCAAATCTAAATTTAGGAGTTTATTTTAAGAACGTTACATAAAATAAGTAATATACTTTTTAGGTAAAAGAAAAATGCATAAACGAAGCAAAAAATCACAAAATCGTAATGATAAGACATGGAGAATCAGAGTGGAATAAGCTAAATTTATTTTGTGGGTGGTACAATGCCGAGCTTAGCGACAGAGGTCGAGACGAGGCAGTAAAAGCGGGAAAAGCATTAAAAGACGCTGGATATAAGTTCGACATAGCATACACTTCGGTTCTAAAGAGGGCGAATGACACTTTGAGTGGTATTCTCAAGGAGTTGAACCAAGAGTGCATTCCAATTCTTAAAACTTGGCGTTTAAACGAACGACATTATGGCGGTCTAACAGGTAAGACCCGATTCTTTTTTATACAACTAAGAATTACATCAAAAAAGATAAATAGTTTTTATAAAATAATAGATAATGCTGCTTTCACTAAAAACAACTTATGTCTTGTAGAAATACAACAAATTCAATCCTGTTAACCTTGAAATGTCTTAAAGCTACTTATTAAAACCAGATAAAAAGTTTTTGCCCGCCAGGAAATGCATTTTATGAAATTTGAAAATATGCTTCCATTAAGACAAATTTTGACCTTATTGCTTTATAAAATTCTTCTGTAGATACTTTCTATTACATTTATAATTCTTCAAGGTTTAAACAAGACAGACACAGTCGCAAAATACGGGGAAGAGCAGGTACAGATATGGAGAAGAAGCTTCGACGTACCTCCCCCACCGATCACCCCCGAAAACCAATATTACAATGCGATTCTAAACGACCCGATCTATGACGAAGGCCCACCGAAAGACAAATTCCCCATGTTCGAATCTCTAAAACTGACCATCGAACGGACGTTGCCTTTCTGGAATGAGACCGTGATACCACAACTAAAGGCCGGGAAGTGCATTTTGATAGCAGCGCACGGTAACAGTCTCAGAGGTATCGTGAAACATCTGGACGAGATGAGCAACGACGCTATAATGGGGCTCAATCTGCCCACTGGTATTCCGTTTATGTATACACTGGACAAGAAGACTTTGAAGCCTGTGCTTGGGGGCAGCCTGCAATTTCTGGGGGATCCCGAGACTGTTAGAAAGGCCATGGAAGAGGTTGCGAATCAGATAAAGAAGAAATAATGTACATAACGAATGCTATTTTATTCTGAGAAACGGATTATTCATTTCTGTATACGCGGTAAAAAAATATATATAGGCTTTAAGTAAATATGGTTTTTGTGCACAATAACACACCCTGGAATAAGGAAAATATATTTGTCTGGAACTACTTCTTTGACGTTTATTAAAAAAAAGTTATCTGAGCTTGTTGGTTCTAAAATTTTACTACATTTTAATTTTGTTCAACTTCATCTCCTATATAATTGTATTTGTTGATAATAGACACGTCAATCAATCAAACTGATCTTGAATTATAGTTACATTGTTATATGTAATTCATATATCAGTAAAACAACATAATTATAGAGATAGTGAAAAATAAATAACGTTTGTCACAGGGAAAAAATATTGGTACTAAATAAAATGTAGAATTATGAACACACGCAGAGCAAGATGAAATAATTAAATACTTGCTTTTTTATTAATAAAAAATAAACAAGTATTGTACATCTGTATATAATGTATCGGCAAAAATTTAAGAATATAGGAGAAAATTTAAAATATTTAAACTGCATATGTTAAGCAGTTGCGATAATAACTAGAACAATAAATAGAACATACTGATAATTAATTCTTGGTAAGTACTGCTTAATAACACTATGAGACGATAACTTTATTACCTAGCATTAAATTTTTGAAATAAAACGTCACAATTTAGCACTTACCTCTTGCGTGGAATGTTGATTGGGGTTGTACATTTGCACAGGCGGCCCAGGGGCAGGACTGGGAGTACTAGGGCCTCTTCTTTTTATCCAAGACATAATTCAACCTGTTTAAAAAAAATTTGATTTTCACCACTGTCACAAAATGACACTTATCTAACCTAACTTATTTTTGCCAACACCTCAAATAGTAATATAGAAGGATAAATTCCCGAGTTTTGCGAATTTATTTAGTAAAAATGCTTTAAAAAACATTAAATGTGTTAAATATAAAACTATGCATCTACAAGTATACATAAATGAAATTTGAAAATATACTGATTCACTGATTGAATCGAGTACTTTTATCACATTTACAACATACGTCAAGATGGAAAGGGATATTTGATAATCCAAAATTAATAAGTACTTAAAAACTAGTTGTTTAATATTTACCTTAATCTATTTATACACGAAACATATGTTATAAAATTAAGCACCCAACATTGATCTCTGTAGTGACTTTCATTTTGCCTACCCTGGGAATTCTTGTTCTTGACGTGTTGGCTAGCTCCTTGCTTTTTAAAAATGGAAAATCTCAGGCCACAGCTAAATATTTTACCATTACGTTCAATGGTATTATTTATTAACAATTGTAATTCGTAAAAAGTATAAATATATTCACAAAATATCACAATGGTATGTAAAAAGTAATCTAGGTACTGAAGTTAATGCATCTCGACAATTCAGAGTTGCTATCTCTGTTTAACTCGTGACAAGCCATACGTTGGAAGAAAAAGGAAAGCCTGAATAGAGAAAAAATAACGTGGGTATATTCTACTGGCAATTTTTTTTTTACCTGACTTTTGTTATCTCTTTTTATCCCATCGTTAACCTATTTGTTCTCCTTCTTTAATCGACCACTTGAGTGTAATACGTGGCATTGCTACAGAGGTGTAGTTATTTTTTTTCTACCCAAGGAAGGGGGAGCCCCTTTTCAACATTGATTGAATTAATAAAAACGGGTTGAGTAGGGAATGGGAAAAATATATAAGTATTTGATTTTTTAAATATATTAAATATTTTAAACTAAATGATAATTGTTATAGGCTTAGTTTTTTTAGGAATTCAGAGTACGGGCATAGAAAAGTATTTTTCAGTGACAGATAAATAAGGCAGAGACTTTTATTAAAGTTTATTATATTTCAAACAAGTACAAAATTAATAGGTATCGCATAAGTTAAATAGTTACAGATACATTGTATATCACTAAACAGCACATAACACAAAACAAAAAAAAAAACATAGATATAACAAAATATCAATATTTATTCAAATAGGTACCTACCTTAAAGTCAATCTTAAAACAAAGTCTTATACCTAAGTAAATTACACACAATGTGGCCCATTAAGAACGGTCATCACAAATTTTTTTGTACAAAGTTAAAATTTTAAACTTAGGCCACACTGTATGTATTTATAAAAATATTTTGAAAAAGGTCCTTTGAATTGAGAAAAGAATGTTGAAAAATGTAAACCGTAAATTTAATATGTTAATTTTGTTAATAAATAATTTTGTTATAATTTCCAGTAAATAAAATTTGTTGTAAATGTCAATTTGTGATACTGCATAGCACTTTTCTGGCAAGTTTTTTAGTAAATAAATTTAAATAAATCATGTTTAGATTACGGATATTTTTTAATTGATCAAAATCATACTTAAAGTTAATATGTATTTTATGAAATATCAAAATGTAGTCTAATAAAAAAAGTGGAAGAATAAAGATTAAAAGAGCCACTAAAATTAACTTACTCCTAATTTATTTGGCAATATCTTAGGTTATATTAGTATATTTAAACTATAAAAAACTTAAGGACCCTTTTCGTTACAACGGCATTATAACACATGCCTTGTAATCATTATTATTTAATGTTTTATAACTCCTGTACAATGTTTTACTCCTAAATTACTAATTTTTCTAGCTAATATCCCAGTTTCTTCAGTGCTTTGAGGTCCACATCTTTGTAGTAATCCTCACTAAAAACAAATCCATATACATGTCAGTTAAAGGAATAAAAAAATGTTATATCTCAATTCCCTACTATATAGAACTTATAGAAACAAATGGATCATATGGATTGAAAATATTGAACATTTACAATTATCCCACAATCTATTTTATGCATTTTTTTATACAGAAAATAACATGTTGGCATGTTGGTTTCAATATAAGCTGGAATAAAATCACTTAATAGTTTGATCCAAAATCAAACAAAGTTTTGGATCCAGTCGACTGTGGCTGTGGCGGCGCTGCTGGCGAATTGCATTTTCAACTGTTTTTAACCTGTTTTTATTTTGGTATTAATTCCCTATGAGTTGTGAATTGTGTATTTTTCTAAATAATTAAAGCTATTTGTCGTGTAATTGTTTATTATTGTTTCTCATTGCATTACATGATTTCTGTAAAATGTGAAAGAATAGCCTTTTGAAAATACCTAGGTACTTTTTAGTGACTAGTGTTAATGTCTATAGTTGCTGATATAACTACATAAATAAGAGTATTTTACTATAAAATCTAACAATGAAATGACTGGAATGAGATAAATCGACTCAACTTTGGGTAAGTTTTAGATAGGTACATAATATGTAGATATGTTCCAATTTTAATGTTGTCATCTTCTTCAAACAGTTGTTTTGCAAAATGTAAAAACATTTATAAAAATTACGAACTTCTAATAATCATTGGCGATTTCCATATAGGGTTATTTGGTCAATGCATCAACAAATATGTACTTTTGTACATAATATTGAATACTCAAAACATAACATTTTGTTAAAAACTACATTGAGGGAAATACTAAAATATCTGTGTTAAATAGGCTCCATGCAGAAAGGTCACGCTGCTGCCATAATAAAAAATATTATTAAATAGTTTTTTTCTAACGTTTTATTTATTGTTACAATCCCATGTGACTTAGATATCAATAAATGATTTTTTTTGGTATAACTATGTGCACTTAGCTAGGCCCAACTTGACATATGATATTGTAATAATTATTAATTATAATACAGATTATTTTAGCAAAACTCTTATTAGTCGTTTTTCCTCAGTGTGTAGACTTAAATCATATTAAGAATTTAAAATTGACCTGTCTAGATCTTTGAGTCGCACTAGCAAAGAAAATCGAACTGGCCACTCGCCATCCTCTTTTTCTGCTCTATTCTAGGTTCATTTATTTTTATCTTTACTATTACTGTAAACACTATAATTAATGTTATCATATCTTTTATTTTTAAATAGGTATGTCTCCTATATTTACCGCATTTTTTCCTTTTCTTAATGATTTCATTTTAATTCCTTTATTTTTTTTTATGTTCACATTATTCAGTATATTTTTACACAAGCTTAAGCATTTATTTCGCTTAGACCTATTGTTATTTCTTGCTGTCTATTTTGATAACAATATAAACTTCAAATTTATTATTTATATCACCTAGGGCATTATAGAATAAAATTTTTATTCGACAGGCATTTTGTACAATGGAAATTTCACATTTTTTGGTAGCTGTAATTGTTTTTAACAAATACCACAGCATACATGTACCTACAGTCATACCTTTTTAATTTTGTAAATAATATGCTGAAGATATTTAAAATGATAAAAGCTTGTATATTACAAAATATAAAATACAGGGTGTATTATAATTAATAGGGCAAATTGAAACAGCTGTAAGTACACGATACCAGAAGCAAAAAAGTCTTAGTAAACATGGGCCCGCAAACACACCGTTTTCGAGATAGTGTCAAAAAAAATATATATTTTTTTCATTTTCGTATTACCGTAGGAGGAGGCTGTTTTAAACAACTGTGGATTTTTGGTGTTTATTTGCTTAGCTTTGAAATATATTTTTTATCTTGTTGCTAGGTACTTTCTTTCATGTTTTCCATAATAGAACGCCATTTATCTTGAAAACGGTTCGCGTTAGAGCTTTTGATATGTACCTTTTTTGTGTAGAAAATATGGGCGGTTCATAATATGCTTTCAAAATTCCTATTTTCCCGGAGTCGTAAACAATTAGGAACAAAAGAATCCCGCGCAATTCTAAAATCTCCGCCACTGTTAAATGAATAAAGTTGACTTAGCGCACAAAATTAGCTAATGTTTAATGATAATACGTGTACAAAATTTTGAGTTCTGTATCCCAAATGGTTCCTGAAAAAAAAAAAAACGAAAAAATTTTTTTTTTTATGTCTTGTATCTCGAAACTGGTTCGTTTGCGGAGCCATGTTTACTGAGACTTTTTTGCTTCTTGTATCGTGGACTTACAGCTGTTTCAATTTGCGCTCTTAATTATGATACACCCTGTATAGCTGCAGACATTAATGTTAAGAAGTTTCATTGAGCATGATACAAAGATAATTTTTGAGGGTTTCATCCATAGTAATATATATACACCCTTTAACATTTTGATGTAAAATGTATTTATACCAATTATTAGAGAGATTTAGAACTATTTATTTCAGAATCTCATTGTTATATAACATCAGTAAACGCAGAGGCATCGTACAAGTAAGATATTACCTTAAAGTGGTTTTGAAACCCTATAATTTATAATATAACACGTGGCCACTTGCAAATACGTAATAAACTACCTAATGTGACTAGAAAAAGATCGTGAATGGTAATAAAACTATAATCAATCCTTCAAATTAATTTGTAGTAGCTAGTTTTTTAAAATTATATGTTCATCACGATTATTATGAATTCTAATGGCGGTTTTCCACTAAACGGACAATTGAGTTTATGTCCTGTTTGTGTTTTCTAGAACAAAACAAAAACAAAACTGAAACAAACCCAAAACTCTCGTTTCCACCAAGCGAGCTACATTTTGTTCGAGTTTTGTTTTTGTTTTCAGTCCTTTTCCACTGATTGTCGCGAGGAAGTTAGAACACATTTTTTCAATAACCAGCCAACATGTTTAGATAAGATTTATTTATTTATTTTATTTATATATTTATTTTTTAAGATTTATTTATTCTTAGTTATGGCTGGTTTATACTGAAGTTCTTGGAAAAAATTGTTACTACAGAGTGTTCCACATCGAACTCCATTGATGGATATCTGGGAAACCGCTCTAAGGATTTTTTTGAAATTGTGATGGTGTGATACAGACCGTGGGGCCCACCAAGTTAAAATATTTTCAAGGCCATCGTACTTCCGGTTACACTGGAAGTCGATACTAACTTTCTTATTTTAAATAGAACCCCTTGTATATTATTGCATTTTTGGAAACATCCATTTTTATGTTGAAAACATATAGCACACTCCATACTAAAGATTGACCGTTTCCGAGATATTTCGATTTTTTAACAAAAATTGACAGATGCAGACTGTCAGCAAAATTTAGATTCCCCGGTTTATTTTTTTGTGCAAATTGGACAGTTTGTAGAGAAAGACCTACTTTATCGAAATTGACATGAAAATTTTCCAGTTTTTATACAGGGTGGTCAAAAAATTTTTATCGAATATGAGGTTCAGAATATGTGGAAAACTCGAAATTTTTAAATGGAAACCCCTAATTTTTTTGCAATAATATACAGAGGGTTCCATTTAAAATAAGAAAGTTAGTATCAACTTCTGGTATAACCGGAAATACGATACCTTGAAAATATTTAAGCTTGGTAGGTTCCACAGTCCGTATCACGCCATCATAATTTCAAAGTCCTTCGAGCGGTTTCCCAGATATCTATCGATGGAGTTCGTGGTATATGTACGGTTAAAGTGTTTACTTGGTTACTTTGTATCCTAGCCAAGTAAACACTTTAACCGTACACATATATATTTTTTAATAGCTATAATTCATTAATGATTAAAATATTGTTTTTGGAAAGAAGAAAACGCCAACATAGATATTGGGTTGGATCACTAAAAACAGACTTGAGTTTCAAAACACGTCGAAACCGCTTTCGAGCGGAACCCGAAAAACGAAACTCCAACTGTCGCAAAACACGCCAGTCCTCAAAAAGTTTGCGAAAAGTTACAGTTCTGTTTTATTCGGCACAAATTTGTGTTTTGTTTTTGTTTTGTCCGTTTAGTGGAAAACCGCCTTAATACGTTTTCCTGCACAAGCAAAAAATTCTTATTACGGCCCTGGTAAGCGCTTCTCAATCCAAGGCCACTTAAATTGGTGGAATGAGATCAAAGTGCCGACAGCGGAGTGAAATCCTGGTTTACATACAGTGGGCATATACTATGACAAAATATTCCACCTATTTGTCATGCTAATTAATTAACAATTACACGAGTAATTAGTATTTAAGTTTAATTAGACGAACCAAATTAGTAACAACGCCAAGAATAATATTAATCTAAATTCTATACAATCATGTTATGTTAATACATACAACGTTTAGACTGAATATGTAGGAGAGAGGTGAGGTTAAAAGTTCCTTACCATTAGAACATGTGAAGTAGATGAGATTAGGTCACAGAAATATCTGCAAGACCACGTCCATAGAAGGGTTACAGGGGAGGGATCGAGGGGTCGGGAAAAAAACAAACCCACGTTATAAAAAACGTATTTTATTTGTATAAAAAAAATTTTGTACCGTTTATGAAACGAACAGTGAACAGCTCTAAAAGACTTCGTACCTAATTTCATTTCTAGATTACACTATTTACTTAGGAACCAGACAGTCAATGGGACAATTCCAATGCCCATTTCGCTAAAATTAACTCTAAAAATTAAATAAGTACAGGTGGGGGATCAAGTCATCCGATTCACTGTCTGTGCGGTAGATTTAAAGGTTTTCGAAAATCCCTTTTCGAAAAAAAAAAGTGGAAACAGTTATCGGAACTGGTTTTTTGGTCAGATATGCGAAAGTCTAGTTTCCTGCGGGTTCTGGGGCGTTACGCGACGCAGGGGCGGGCCTAGGCTTTTTTGGGGAGGGGGCCGCCCTCGAAGCTCCGCTGCTTTGGAGACCGGCCAAGAGTTCGCTCTTGCGGATGCTCTTCAGGTCCAAGTCGCCGTAGTAGTCCTCGCTGTGAACCAGCAAGGATTTTAGAAAATTTAAGCAATAGTGCAAGCATAACGGTTTTGCAATCCCGATTTTTTTTAGGATCTTACACGGGTGGGAAGGAATCGCAAATATTAGTCATTCACAAAGCAAAAAAATAAAATGCTGATACGCAAAGTACTCTAGGATTTTTGGCCAAACTTTAAATTTGAACTAAGGTCGTCAAAATCAGAAAAAAACAAAAAAAAAATCAATTTAGTTATTTGATGGAGTAACGAAACTTGAGTTCATTATGCATCGAAAGTTAGGAAGGTTTTTTTGAGTCTGATAATGTTTTCTGACTCAAATTTTCACATTGAATCTAAATTCGGAACTAAAATTGTCACATCACATCAGAATTTTGGGATATTCAAATAAATCAGTACAAAACAGCCCTTTTGATATTAGACCAATCAATAGAGGTTTTATTTGTGACAAAAATACGAGTTGCAAACCGACTTGTGCCATCATATAAAATACAGTCTGTAGATATATGCTTATATGTTTCTTACTCCAATTTACCATTAATTAAATTTTTATAAACATTTTTATGCAAAAAACGCATTTTTTTTTAGTTTTTTGCTTATAAAGCCTAAACTAACGAAGCAATATGAATGCTATAAAGAGACAATTTATAGAGAATCGAAATACGAATAAAACGAGAGATCGATCGATCCGATCGGATAATTAGTAACGAAGAAAACCCGGAAAAATCAGAAAATTTAATGTTTTTTTTTTAATTCGTTACTAAGCCATTTTTTAAAGTTATATATGTTATCATATGTTTTAAAGTTTTAAAGTAGAGCTGACCCTGTGCACAAAAGTACAGAATTATATGTACTTTAAGTGTGCACAAAGCAGGTGCTGTAAGACCATTAGTTTTGTCACAATTGCAATTTGAATTTTTTTTGCATAAAAATGTTTATGAAAAATTAATTAATGGTAAATTGGAGTAGGATACATACATATGTATAAGTATATACCTGCAGACTGTCTTCTATATGATGGCACAGTCCATTTGCTACTAGTATTTTTGTCACAAAATCACTGATTTAATACTGTATCTATTGATTGTGTTTTTTATAGATAGATTTTTCCTCCAATATATCGCCAATTTCCTAATGTAACACTGTATAGATGGAATTTCCTTATAAAGTTAGGTTATATGAAGTCAATTTTTTTATATAGAAATATTACAGCTCAAAAAAGTAATATCATTGAATCCTACTATCTACAAACGTAATATCCAATTCATTGGCCATGTTAAATTGTGAAAACATGTTTTTGGTCAAATGAACGTAAAAAGTAAATTTCTTTTTACCTAATATGATTTGTTTGGTGCCCTTGGAAAAAAATTTGCGATATTTAATAACGTTATTTCAGAGGAAAGTATGACGTAGAATATCATGAAATAGATGATACCAATAACTACCAATTTATATTTTATAAAATGGGCTATAGTTAGGTACTATTTTATTAAACTTTCATTACTAACATCACTCTAGTCTAGAATTGGTATAAACATTTTTTCCACTAGTGCAGTGGCGCCAAATTTTTGGGATTCGTTTCCAAATTCGTACGTAAGCGATCATAGAACCTTTTTTTTAATTTTGAGCACTTAAACTAAAATTTAAAATTTGGCCAATTAATCCCAGAACGTCCTGTAGTACCAGCAATAATTCCAAATGATTTAAAGATACAACTTATTCAAGTTATATCCTAAATTTAAAAATAGAGTAAAAACAATAATTCCAGAATATCTATTCTGCTGATTTAAATAATTTACTTTGTTATTCTCAAATGATATTATGAAATAAAAATGTTTATTACAAATATGTGAATGACAAAAATAAATGAACTTAAAACTAGGAAATGATGGATGGAAAGAAAGGTGAATCATTTTGAGGTACAGGATGAAAGAAGAAAAGAAAGTAGACATATTAGTGGTTAAATCGTGATTTCAGACGAAATATCTGAAAAAACGCTATGTACATGTGACAGAAATGTTTTAATTATCAGAAAACAGACCATGCTCATGCAGTAAAAGGCCTCGTTCTCTACAGGTTATAATGTGAATAAACTGTGACTTCGAATCATAACCATAAAATTGTTAAATGCTATATACATATACAAACGTATTCACCATCATGAACTAGATATGCTTAATTCATTACAGACTAATTGATGCCTGAACCGTGACTGATATATGCAGATACTTTTCCTTTTACAATAAAATCTTTAAATAGATCTTTCAAGGTCTTCCTGTAATAATGGTAAAGCTTGAAAACACTGAAATATCACAGATAGGTTTCCAACGCTCATAATGCTTATTTCACAATATTTTTAATGTTTCCTTTCATTTAATGTCCACTTATTGTGTGTTTCGTTTTCTTGAACACTAAATGTGTACTTTTTACTTTCATGTTTTTTTCTAGCCTTCAAAAATGATTAGAAAGTGTAGTAAAATATCAAAGTATAAACGAACCGTGCAAAGGCACGATATATTACATTAATATAAACGTAAAAAAACACGGATCTTGTTGAAATTGTAATTAACAAGTAAACAAAGTCGAATGTAAGGCGATAAGAAAATTAGTGATTTTTACGATTTTTAGCAAACTACAGATACAAATGTACAAAATATAAAATAAATATCTTTTACTGCTCGTGACTTTCGAAAAATAATGGTGAATCGGTTTGTACGAAGGGGTGATCTTGTTAGGGAAGTTTAAGTAATATTTACAACCGGTCCCTATCGAAGGTAACTTACCATCCGGGCACATCCTCGGGGTCCTCGCAGTTGCCGGTGCCATCGGCATCACCGATTTTGAAGACGGTGCCGATGGGGCAGCCGTATTCACGGGCTTGACCCTCTAAGCAGATGTAGTACTTCCTGCAATCTTCTGGGTGGGCGTGCCTTGAGAAGGAGCCGCCGGCGTTATTTATGTCAGCGGGGCAAGTAAAGCCTCCTGCAACTTCTGTAAATGAGCGATGAATCTATTTAAATGATAGTTCTGTCGGTCTGTCTGAAAGCCAAACGGAAAACGGAAGGCTCCGCAAGTCTTGAGAGAAGATAGAGAGATAGCCAATTTTTACAAATTTGTCACAAGTTTTCTTCTTCTGGTATCCTCGACACGCTTTTCTTCTGCTAATTGTACTTCTTTTACAGAAATGTTTCCGTTGTTTTGGTTGTGACATTTTTTTTTCAACAATTGAGGTTTCAAGAAATTTTGCTCGAATTGTTCTAGTCGTCTGTCAGTGTCAATGAAAATGGGATGGTTTACGTATGATTGACATGGATTTTTTGATTCTGAATGATATTGATGATGATTTTTGTATTCTTTTCCTTTTTGCTCAATTGGCTATCGACGAAGTTCAAGTATAAGATATAGAATAAGAGAAGAATATAAGTATGTGAAAATGTAGGAGAAAACATAAAGAATATTTGTAGGGAAAAGGAAAAGAAACAGTACAGTGACAAGATAAAAGTTATTGCTATACTAAAAGCCAGAACATGCACAGGTTATCAAAAATATCGGCTTCTAAATATACCACAATAAGCTCCTAAATTTTCTTCAAGTTGCTGATTTAATTCTACAAGCTCTATGACAAACTTTGACAAATGGGTTAATTTTTTATTATGATTATGAATTTCAAGCGTTTTAAAAAATATAATTCCATATTTCAATCAAAGTAGCAAATGCTTGTAACGTCTAAACAAAAACGAATAGGACCTATGCTCATATAAGAAAAAATGTTTGAAATTAACCTAGCTCCCATCTGTCAAAATTTGTTATAAAGCTGGTAGAACACTCTGTATATTATTAACATTTAAAAGTGAGGTCCATTACTTACAATTAGTCTATTAATTAGTCCATCTAGAGTGAGATTGAATGACCTTGGAAAAAATGTCTTCTGAGTAGAATAGTGTTGTCTCTATATTTTACATTTAGTTGGAAAGTGTGTCAGTTTTATTATTTATTTCGTATCTACGCATGAAATGCAATTAATTGATATGTTTAGCTTGTTTTTTTATTTAATGTTTTTAATTTATTATATACCGTATAATAAAACAATAAAGAAATGTTTAGTATTGAAGGAAATTCGTGAATACAAATATACTTTCAGCAAATTTTGGTGTGATTTTTTTTTATATTTATAAGTAAATAAATATGTACAAATAAAATATTCGAAATTCCCGCCCCGTTATTTAGTTCATCGATGTGTATTGGAGTAGGTGGCGCCGCCTACTGATGAACTGTCACAGCTGTTGCCAACTGTTAGTAGGGAAATTGTATTTCTTCTTTTTTGTAGTTTGTGAGGTGTTTCAATTTGTGCGACATAATAGACCAGGAAAATTAGCGAAAAAAAAGAGAAACTCAAAAAATTCCTATCCGCGATATTGTAAAATTGTCTAAAAAATGTTATTAGCTAACTTTTCTATTGAAACAAATAAGGAAGGAAAAATAGTTTTTTCACTTTGCAGGGCAAACCATTAATTTTAGCGAAAAGTGACTCGCAGACTCGTAGGGAATAAAATTATCTACAAAATGAGACTTGTTAAATTAAAATCGGTTAATGAACAAAAAAGTTATTGCAAAAAAAACAAGAAAAGTGCCCATTTTTTAATTTGTTTATAACTATCGCATTTATTGTTAAAATTTTATAAAACCTATGACAAGTTGAGGGTTTTGTCATACTTTAAAAGTGTGCCAAAAGTGGGCGCTGTAGGTGCAATAGTTTTCGCACAATTCAATTTGTTTATAACGGAGGCTCCAAAATATATGAACTTTAAGCCTCTGTAAAGGCGTTAATTTTCAACCAAACATGATTCTGAAAGCGTCATTGTAATCTTAAAGACGCAACTAAGCGACCTATTAAAAAATATCACCGTTTTTTTGACATTAACATTCTCAAATTGTGCATTAAAAACCGTGCGGTTTTCGCTTATAAACAATTTGAATAAAATTGTTGCTATTTGTGCTATCTCAACGAAAACAGATTCAATGGATAGCTGGCAAAAAAATATTTTTTTTTTTAAAAAAAGGCACCCTGTACGACCAACATTTAAATCATAATTAAATAACTAACAAAATATTGAAAAAATAAATTTATACTTTGGCTTAATATGTAAAAAAAATACTTTTTAAATGAACGATAGCTTCATTTATTTATTTAATAATAGTAAAATAATTCTGAAATTTGAATTTTAATTAATATTTCGTTTAACAATAATTTTTGTGACATTTTTGTAAATTAAAAAAAATTAAGTATAAAAGATGCATTTTTTCTGGGGTTCAGGGCTATTCTACGAATTCGTAAATATGACCATTGTTATTTTTTCGTCGAGCTGCCCCAGTTAAAAAAAAACAGAAGTTTCTACGATGAATAGAAGCCGAGATATTGCAAAATTTTACAGCGCGCATCAATTTCAACTTACGCCTGTACAGAGGCTTAAAGTTCATAACTTGTGGGGCCTCCGTTATAAACAAATTGAATTGTGCGAAAACTATTGCACCTACAACGCCCACTTTTGGCACACTGTTAAAGTATGACAAAACCCTCAACTTGTCATAGGTTTTATAAAATTTTAACAATAAATGCGATAGTTATAAGCAAATTAAAAAATTGCCACTTTTCTTGTTTTTTTGCAATAACTGTTTCCAAAAAAAAAAAAACATACGCTTGTGTTTAACGATGAACCTAACACAGTTAAAGGTCATTCAACTTTTGATGATTTCTGATGGACTGTATTTAATTAATACTACTTTACACCACTGGTTATTTATGATAGTTGATTTTATAAATTTAAAGCAGTACTAAATCAATTATCATTGGTTAATTTTTAACAAAAACTACGTAATATAGACATACGTTTTTCTTACTGAACTCAGTTCCATTGTCTGCTTTAACAATGTTTGGATATGCAATAAATATTAAGTCTACTTTCTTTATTGTTTACTATATCATAGTATAAAGACTTTAGACCAACAATGCGGTCACTGAATCCAGTAATACTTTGGGTTAAGCTTTATAAACCATGTTGAATTTGTGCAATTATCGCTAACTACAAAGCGTGTTGTGTTAAACAAAAATCGAACTCTTAGCTTAAACTGACCGTCGCTTTTACATTCTGGAACTTGGTCGGCCCACATACAGACACGGGCCTCGCGGTCGTAGGCGAGACCGGGAGAACACTGGTACCTGGAGGCCTCTCCGTTCCAGCAGTTCCAGAAGACGTCGCACTTAGCGTCGTCGGCGAAGATACCGTAGAGACGCTCGCAGTGGGGGGTACTGATCGCGGGTTCTAGAAATGGAAACGAATGTTTGTTGCTACTGGAAGGTGTAGAGTAATCTTTAATTACCTAACTGTGACCTGTCTCCGCAGTCAACGTTGTGGATATAATCGCAGTTTTCAGTCAAGAATTTCGGGTCACTGGCATCGAATGCTAGACCGTTTCCACAGGTTTTGAGTTCAGCAGCGTTGTTATCACATTTCCAGTATTTGTCGCAGGATATGTGGTGGGGGTAGAAGCCGAAATCGTCGGGGCATTTGAAGTTGTCCTGGCCATAGGCTGAAAAGGAGAAGAAAATGATTAATAGAGACACACCGTCTATGAATAGATCGAAATCAGTATAAAAGCGACCAAATTATTGTATGTTGTAAATATTTTATGTTTTTTGTATGTTTTTGAGAAGTAGTATCTTCAGAATTGGACCAATAGTCCGGTCAAATTAGTCATAAAAATAGTGGTCAAATAACGAAAAATCCGACACAGCTAAAAAGTCCCCACCGATCTCATGTGTGCTAAAAAAATTATTCGTGGTCAAAAGACAAAATTTGAGGTTTTTTTGAATTTTTTTCGAAAACGGTAAGTTTTATCAAAAAAGTAGCCCTGATAAAAATTATAGATCTGAAAATTATCTCCAAAAATGGTCCTTATACTTTTTTCTCTAAGAATACCATTCCTGAAATATCGCGATTCTAAAAGTTGAAGAAGTCACGTTCTACATGATATGCACATATATGCCACGTATAAACATAGTCAGGCACTTAATGCAAGTAAAAATGCCTATTTGTGTCTATTGTATGTATAAACTATACTATTCTGAGAATATACACTCAAAAGAAACTCAGTCCCTTAGTCAAAATGACGCAGATGTCCTTATAATTGAAACAGCACTAGAACAATTTAATGCAACAAATACAACTTTGTAGTTGGTGAAGATGTTGACTTATTAATACTACTCACTGCAAGGACTCCAATTGATAAAATAATATACTTTTTAAAACATGGAATGGCTCAACAGCTAACAGAAATATATTCTTCAAAAAGTTTATCTGCTTATCCAAAATGCCAAAACCATATCTTATCTTTACATGCGATAACCGGCTGCGATACTACATCAGCAATGTTCAGAAGGGGGTAAAACATCAGTATTAAAATTATTTGGAAAAAACGATTTGATTGATTGCAGAAATTGATTCTTCACCTCAAACAATAATCACAAAAGGAATTCGCTTTCTCCTCGCTGTTAAGGAGCTAAAAAAAAATTGATTGTATAGATAAATATAGATATTTAACTTCTGTAAAAAATACACGAAACAAGAAACAAGTACAACTATCTTGTCTTCCTCCAACATCGGCTTCTGCTAATCAACACTTGTATCGAGTATACTATCAAGTTCAGACATGGCTAGGCACTCAACTAAACCCAGAAGACTCGGATTGGCAATTAACAGATAATACTTTGGAACCGATTCAAACTTTATTTCCACCTGCTCTGGAGAAACTCCTAAACACTATTTTATGCAATTGCAAAAAACGGTTGTAGTGCTAAATGTGGCTGTAGAAGAGTAGGGTTACTGTGTTCTCCAGCGTGTACTAATTGCCAAAGCCAGTCTTGCTCAAATGTCCAATTGAATACAACAGACGAAGATTCATGTGATTTCGATGAAGAGCCAGCTGATTCATCTTCATTTGAACAATTTATGAACATCCAGCAAGAAAAAGAGGAGGAAGAAGAAGAAATCGAAGAAGACATTACTGTTGAAGTCGACTTTGAAGAGTATGAATCAGATTAAAATATCAAAAGAAATAAGAACTACAGTTGAAGTCAATAACCAATATCAATATCAATAATCATCATACAGTTAAAAGAGTATTGTCCCTGAAAATTCCGTCATAACAGTTCGTGGTGTAGGCCTACCGGGGAAACCACGTGAAAAAAACGCGTCAAAGTACATTACCCCACAGGTGGTGTGGAAATGTGTGCATATCATGTAGAACGTGACTTCTTCAACTATTACAATTGCGGTATCTCAGGAATGGTGATTCTTAAGAAAAAGTATAAGGACCATTTTTGTAGATAATTTTAAGATCTATAATATTTGTCCGGGCTACTTTTTTTATAAAACTTACCGTTTTCGAAAAAAATCCAAAAAACCTCAAATTTTGACCTTTGACCCCGAATAACTTTTTTAGCATACATGGGATCGATGGGGACTTTTGACACTTTATTTCTAATGGTGTAGCCAAGGTCTCCACCAAAATTTAGCTTTGTCGGAATTTTCGTTATTTGAAATGTCTAATTTGACCGGGCTACAAAACATCTGCCAATAACTTTAAACAAATTCTTGATCAAATATACGTCTGACATCTTTCAAATTAACAGCGCCATCTACTGGTTCGTGAATTTTGCAATTCTAACAGGATAAATTAGTCAGTTGTACAATAGCATCCTGCGAAGCACGATGTCATTTGCTAAATAAGGAGACCCGACAACGCGAGGATCTCGCAACGCGAACAAATGAACATAAACTTTACATTCGCGACGACTATTGACATTTTACGATCGCTCTTGCCCCTGCCTGTGAAAAAAGGAAAGTGGAATCTTAAATTACGGCCGCATGTCCAGGCGTAACAACTTATTACGACACGCGGGCGGGACAAGCGGCTTCTGAACTGAAAGCAGGGGCCAGTTTTTTCCGAGGCGAAAAGCGAATTTGAAAAGTGTCCCAGTTATCGGTCCTTCACCCGTCCCCAAGCCCATGTCTGGCCAAGAATAATGCAAGAGGTGCGCTCAATACCAGAAATACGTGACTGTGACGTCACAATTGAATACAGTATGTATTTTTATCTGCTCCCACTATAGTAAATAGAATATTAATACATTGTTTTTAAGGAGGTCAGTGGATTTTACCGTAGAAGTGGAAGTTGAGTATTTTATAAACAAATAAATAAAAATATTTGATGGAAATTACATTATTATGACTGAATATTTATAGTGATTGTACAGTTATTACATTTAGCAACATTTATAAAATCTGGATGATTATTCCCCTCCCGTTTACTAATTGTCACATTTTTTTAAAAATGATTTAACCTCTCCATTTCAATCACCGGAGGCACAATATTATCTGACTAATCCAGCAAAACAGCATGATGCGACGTACTACTAGAACCTGGAGTTGAATTGTCATTGTAAAGAATCCTGTTGGCTATTTCATTTTTGTTACTTAAACTGTCAGCAACATAACTTTCTGCAATTGTGCCTGATTTCCACCCACCATGTCTCTTGATTGCTAATACATACATCAACTCCTGCATTAGCCAGTAACATTGCTGATGTTCTTCGGAATGAATGACCTGTATATGTTTCAGGATGTTCTAGTTTAAAAAACTGTGCAATCTTATTAGGAGTCATAGAGAAAGTATTCTTGCCGACTGGTTGGTTGTAATAAATAACTATTTTTAAAGTCACGTCTATGCTTTCGGTTTTGTAGACTTGTCTTCTGTAAGAGATTAGGGAGTGAAAGAAATAACAACATGAAAAATACTAAAGTAGTGGGAATTTACTGCATATCTACAAAGACTGTGAACGGTGCAGCTCTGAAAATATCCCCAGGAATTAAAATTAGGTCTTGTAACACCTATTTACAAAAAAATGCGACCTTTTATTAACGAATATTTATAGACATATAAGATTATTGAAAATTATACGTATAACAGAATTATCGATTATTTACAAAATTATAGGTTAACAATAGCATACCAGAATGGTTTCTATTTTGAAAGATCGACGTTTAGTGAATCTGTACGAAATCTTAATGCAGATTGGATCTCTTTTCTTCGATTTTATTAGACTATTTGAACCTGCATGGAAGAATATCCTCTAGATCTAGAACCATGTACCTTGAGCAAAGCGAAGTTTTTGTAAGGGTAAATCAGACCAACTCCACAGAACATAAGTTAATTTGGGGATTCCTCAAAGTTCCGCACTAGGACCTCTAATGTTTTAATTTTTATAAACGATTTGAAATCTTTTATGAGTACGGACTATATTGAATTGTAACAGACAGGCAAACATTGGCAGAACATATGACAAACTGTCGCCTATATGTATAGCAGATATCATTATTTGCACATTTACAATTCTGAAAATACTCCTTGTTCAAACTTGAAGTAAAAGGACCCTAGGACTTAATTGATTTGTATTATTGATAACATTATTATTATAAAAGATTATATTTCAAAACAATGTGCGCTTAACATAAAATAATTAACTGATAGAAAGAAATTGAGATATTAAGACTAGTCACCTTGGGAAAAAATCAAGGAAACGTTTTGGATATAATAATTTAATTGCATGTACAGTTATAACCACGTCCTTTTCACTTATTTGTCCTGAATGTATAAAGCGCTATTAAAAGCAATTACATTGTTATTACAACATTTGCATGTGTAGGTGTGTCAGTCATTTCTAAAGATTCAGAGTCGTTCCGATAATCGTACTGTAAAATTCCAAAAAATACTTTAATGGCCATATTTATTACTGAGAAGATATATAAGGATGACTATCGCCCATGAAGCGACACGTCGTCTGAAGAATATAAACATTACTTAGACATTTATTGCTCTTTGATTACTTCCAACGAGTAAATCTTTTCCAAGTACCATTTACTTCTTGCTTGCAACAAGATAATACTCGGAAGGGTCCGCGCACTAGAAATATAACCGCATAAGAACTGACTGGGTGTAATTTTTATGAAAATTTATTACTTTACGTGCTTGCATTTCGGCCTGCTGTGACCTTATCAGCAACGAAGAGTGCAAATGTCTGTTGGGGTCTAAATTGTTGCTGTGGGAAAATAAGTTTAACGTTAAACGAATTTTTCAAGGACATACAGGGCGAATAATGCGACAAACTTTTATTAAACAAGTAAAAAAAGTAAGTTATTATTTCCCGAAGTAGTTTCTGACGATTCTATGATTCTTCAATGAAGGAAACACAAGTTTTGGTTTACTGGAGAACTATTGAAAATATATGTTTCACATTTCGTCTAACGCTTTCCATACCTTCATATTTTCTCTTAAATGTATAGTTTGAGATAGTGAATTTTCAATTTTTAGTCAAAAGTTACATTAAAAATGTGTTATTTATTCGAAATATTCATAAAAAGTATTTACGTTTTTCTGTAATGTCCGAATGTAAATCGTACATTCCAGTGTCGTACTTGATTTTTACACAACGTGACGAAAAATAGACGTATTTATAGAAAATTAATTTTGTA